TGTAGTCTGTTGCAGATTGCAGTTCATTAACTTCTCTTTTGCCATCTTTGATTACACACTGTCACTATCCCCTTTTTGACATGAAGGTGTACAGCCTTGATTCATTTCTTCCTTCCTCTTTTTGCTTAGTGGCTTCCTTCTCACTCCTTGATTTCAAAAGCATCTATACAGGGGCGCCTGGGTGGCTCAGTTGGTTAAGCGACTGCCTTCGGCTCAGGTCATGATCCCGGGGTCCTGGGATCGAGCCCTGCGTCGGGCTCCCTGCTCGGCAGAAAGCCTGCTTCTCCCTCTCCCACTCCCCCTGCTTGTGTTCCCTCTCTCACTGTGTCTCTCTCTGTCAAATAAAATCTTTAAAAAAAAAAAAAAGCATCTATACAAATAAAAACAAATCATTAATTTCCACCAAGGTTTTGCCCAATTAACCCCCTTCACTCCTGCCCTTGGAAGTCCACACACTAATTCACCCTCAGCCTCCCTCCTAGAGGGGATTCTTCCTCCTGAGAGTCACCTGCTGGGTTGTGACAGTTACACCGTCAGTAGAGGACTTGTTAAAATGAATTTTCTCCTCTTCCTTCCGTGATCTATGTAGCCGTTAAAAAAAAAGAGGAAAAATGGAACAGCTCAGTGTGTCATGATGGGAAATGACCCAAGAGGTATCTGTACACGAAAAGGAAAGCAAGGCTCAGAGTGGTGGGTATAGTATGCTAACATTTGCAGGGGAAAAAGTATCCACTAAAAATAGACACGCACATATGTATAATTGGATTTGCTTAGAGTGTTTATGGAAGGATGTACAGAAGACTTATCGCTGTCATGGTGTCTGGTGAAGGGCACTAGGTGTCCTAGAGTCAAGGATGGGAGGGACACTTGCTGCTGTAAACTTTCTAGTGACTTTTGAGTTTTGTGCCATACGCATGTATTTACTGGTTAAAAATCTGTTAGAGTGTTGGCTCGCAAACTGGCTCTTGGACACAGAGGGCAAGAAGAGACCACAGAAAGAGACAGACCGCTCCAGGTTTGGTAGGTGGCAGGTTTAAGAAGCAAGGGAGCTTATATATGAGGTTCGTCTTGGGTGGTCACAAGACTAATTGATCCCCACACCCACACGCCAAATCTTAAAAGTTTATAAAGAGACCGTAACTGGGTTCGGTCACGTATACATCCAGATGGTCTCAGCAGCACCTTACTTTCCCAGGGCTGTGTCCTTAGGGCAGCTTCTAGCTTGGGCAAGACAGGGTAGGAGGGGGGCAAGGAACCTCTGATTGCCTGGGTCCAGCTCACGGGTCAGTCAGCAGTCACGTGCTCTCAGTGACCTCCTCCAACACGTAGCTAGCTAGCTAGATAGAACAAAGAGCAAGAGAGAGAAAGGTTATTCTCCATGTTAAAATATTATGGATTAAAAGACCATCGAAACAGGAATAACTCTCACTTTGTGATATTGTGTCACTGGATGCTACTCTCTTTGCTGCCTGAAAGCCTCTCAGAGTCATTAGTGAGGGTGTTAAGTGATGAAATGAGTGGAAGATAATAATAATAAGTGGAAAATAATAAAGTCCTGCACTTCAGGCTGCTTTTTCTGGTGTGGATTGTGCAGAACAGACACTTGGCTGTGCCCACCATCCTTCTCCAACACTGGCTAGCCTCGCGGTCCTCAGCAGCTGTTTTTGTTCTCTTGATTTTGACCCTCCTGCCTTTAGCCACTCACAGGCCCAGTTTCCTGCTTGACCCACTGGTAGGACTAATTGAGCTCATCCTTGTCCATATTAGAAAAACTCAGGTCATCAACTGGTAGATACATTTCCCCAAAGGATGTCAGTTTCGAGGCTATTGGAGGTCCCCTTTAGTCTGTTCTAGGCATGGTCTTTCTTACTTTGTTTCATCGTCAAATTTTAAAGAAGGATTCTGGATAGCCGAGGTCCTGCCCCAAAGGCAGGAGTCATGGGACCCGGGATGCTCAGCACAAACCAAAGTGGTCTTTCTGTGTGAGCTAACCCATACTGGGATTGTTCTACCTGACATTCAAGGCAGAGCATCTTCACTGGTTTGTTATTGGAATATTTTAGGAACTTCCATATTGAAGACCTTTCTCCTTAAACCAGGTGTCTCAGCCTCAGCACTCTTGATATTTTGGGCTGGGTAATTCTTTATTTTGGGGAGACTGTCCTGTGCATAGTAGGATGTTTAGCAGCGTCCCTGGCTTCTCTCCATTAGATGCCAGTGGTGTTCCCCATGTTGTGAGAAGTGAAAATATCTCCATACATTGCCAAAGTTCCCAAGAAGGCAGAATCACTCCTGATTAAGAGCTAATACCTTAAGTCATGGTGCCTCTGTGAGCATATATTCATACCTGCCTCTTTTCATTTTTAACCACTTTAGACACTTTTTAAAAAATGTGCTTTAAATAACTTTTTTTAAAAGGCGATGTGGGAGTACCCACTCTCATAACACTGTTTACTGCACCTTTAATTAAGTCTCCAGAAATGTGTACATAATACCTTTGTAGGACAACTAGAAAGTGATGTTTAAATTTGGATACATTAATACTGAGTTGCATGGTCTAGTTTTTACCAAGAAGAATGTCCCATTTTATTTGAAGTGATGAGTAATAGTTTATCCCTTGAGTGAAAGGAGTCTGACTTCACTGGAGGGGACACGTCTAAGCACAGGGAGGGGTATATATTTTAGACCCACTGAAGGACCTTAGCCACACAGGTGTCTTGGGCTCCCTCTACCGGGATTTACCTCAGGAACCACATGAATTTCCACGTCACTCTTGGGGGCTGACTTACCTGCCCGTGTCTTCCCTGGAGATAACTTAGAGCATGCGGATCTCCTGGGGGTGTTCAAAGCAGGGACCTCAAGCCAGCCATGTTAGTTCTACCTCAGGGCCTTTGCACTTGCAGTTCCCTCTACCTGGACTGTTCTTTCTCAAATCTTTTTGAGGCATGGCTGACTCTCTGCCACTTGAGTTGCATCTTAAATGCCACCCCCTCTGAGAGGTCTTCCCGTGTCGGGGCTCCATGCCCCGCCACAGCCCACTCCTCATTGTCCTGATTTCTGTTGTCCATACCACTTCCAACTATTTGAAATGATCCCTGTTACAGTTTGCATGTTTATTATTTGTTTCCCTGCATGTAGAATATAAGGTCCATGAGAGGAGCTGAAGATCTCTGTGTAGTAACACAGGAGGCTCCGGACTGTGTGCAGTCCAGTTGCTTTCCAGTTGAGGAGCTTATCTGTGTAGTGTTGTGGTTTCGGCTCAGTGAGGAGAGGGCTTGTCGGTGCTTATTAGCAAGGAGGGAATGGGCCATGCTACAGTAGTGTGGATTTGCCTCTTTTTGATACTTCCTGTAAATCGAATCATCTGATCAATGCCTTGTGTGTCTGGCTTATTGAGCGTGAAGTTCTCTAAGGTTCATCCATGTCCTAGTATGTGTCAGCCACTCATTCCTTTTTACAGTCGAATAATATTAAGCCATATGCATATACCATTTGTAATCCATCCATTCATCAGTCGACGGACACTGGAGCTCTTTGCACCTTTGGGCTGTTATGAATAGTGCTGGCATTCACGTGCATGCATGGGTTTTTGTTTGACAGTCTGCAGTTATTTTGCATGGCATTGAGTAGCCTTGCCAGGCCGTTTGGTAATTTTGTTTAATTTACTGAAATACTGCCAAACTTCAGCACAGTGCTGCCCCATTTTATGTTTATCCCTGCATAGCACAAAGGTTCTGCACAGGCTCACCAGCACTCCCCAGGCTCACCAATACTTATTTTCTGATTATTATTATTACTCCTCTTGCCATCCTAGTGGGTGTGAGGTGGTAACTCACGGTGGCTTTGATTTGGATTTTCTTCGGACTTTCTTCGTGACTCATGATGTTTAGTGTCTTTTCTTGTGCTCATCAGCCATTTTCTATTTTCCTTAGAGCGTGCCTTTATTTATTTTTTATTTTTTTTAAAGATTTTACTTATTTATTTGACAGAGAGATAGAGAGACAGCACAAGTAGGCAGAGTGGCAGGCAGAGGGAGAAGTAGGCTTCCCGCTGAGCGGGGAGCCCGATGCGGGGCTCGATCCCAGGATCCTGGGATCATGACCTGAGCCGAAAGCAGCCGCTTAGCCGACTGAGCCACCCAGGCGCCCCGCGTGCCTTTATTTTTATGCTTATTTTCTTTGCATTGTTATTGTATGTGAACACTTCTCTCTCTTTCTGGACCGTGAGCTGCCTCGTTTATTGATTTTTTTAAAAAAAGATTTTATTTATTTATTTGAGAGAGAGTGCGCCCCAGTAGAGAGGAGAGCAGAGGAGAGGGAGAAGCAGACTCCCCACTGATCAGGGAGCCTGACCTGGCAGGGCTCAATCCCAGGACCCTGGGAACAAGACCTGAGCTGAAGGCAGATGCTCAACCACTGGGCCACCAGGTGCCGCACGCTGCCTCGTTTATAAAATGGGGCTAAGGCACTTCTCCAAAGAGAGATTGACTTTTGGAAATTGTTGAGTTTGGAAATTGTTGGAATTGTTGAAATCTTTGTTAATGTAAGTTTGAAATCTTGTCTTTTTTTTTTTTCTTGCCACTATCCCACTCTATTTTATTTTTAAGTAGGTTCCACACCCAGTGTGGAGCCCAACGCAGGGCTTGAACTCACAACCCTGAGATCAAGACCTGAGCTGAGATCAGGAGTCAGATGCTTCACCGACTGAGCCACCCAGGCGCCCCTATCCCACTTTATTTTAAAATGCAGCCTGTAAACCTTAGGCTAATTTTCCAGATTGGCACATTTAATTCGGTTTTGATTTTCTGAATTTTGACCTCTGAGTCTAATCTGTATGCCATGAATGTTTAGGTTTTAAACATACTTTAAGATCCGTTTTTGTCTTAGCTAATACAGTACCTAGGCAGTATTTGACTTTTTGCTGTTTCAGAGTAGGCAGTGGCTGTTGAAATAATTTTCATTACAACAGGTTTTTTTTTTTTTTTTTTTTTTCCTTTTCAGAAAAAGTTGCCTTTGACAACACTGGCTCAGTGTTTGATGGAGGGGTCAGCTATCCTGGGAGATGACACACTTCTCGGGTAGGTGACACCATGTGTGGGTTTGCGTCAAGTCTAGGTAAGCCCCCATCCCTGAGAAGTGGGCCAGAAATTCTCAGGGGTGCACTGAGGACACTTGAAGACTAGTTGGAGCTGGGGTGGGAAGAAGAAAAGGTTTGCTGGTGAGAAAAATCAAAACCCCAGGCTCCAAAGTCATATTGGCTGTGCAGGGAGGCAACTCCCCGGATGGAGAAATTAGCATAATAAACACAATAAACGGTTGAAGGACAAATGAAATCCCTAGGGCTGCAGCCGAAGTAAATGGGAAATCTCTCCATGTCAGATGTCAGAAATTACAGGATTTCCAGAACAACCCGGGCTGAATTTGAGCTCACAATAAAAACAAACTAAAAATAGAATCGTCGTGAGGGAGGATTAGCAAGGCACGATCAGCAGGAGAAGCAGAGAGAACTAAAAATAATGCGGTAATATGAAAGAAAATAGGAAGTAATAGATACCAATATGTATGAAAGAGTTATGCTTAAAATGAAGCTTAAAAATTAAGTAAGGACAATGCGTGCTTTTGCAACACATATGCTGAAATTGGAACAGGAGACGTTAGTATGGTCCCTGAACATGGGTGACAGGCCAATGTGTGAAACGCTCCATACTTTTAAGGAAAAAAAAAAAATTCCTGTTGCAACTGTGTATGGTGACACATTAACTAGATGTACCATGGTGCTCATTTCACAGTATATGCAAATGTTGAATCCTTCCATTGTACACCTAAAACAAATACAATGTTATATGTCAATTATAGACTTCAATTTAAAAGACAAAATAGTCCTTGAGCAAAGAACCAAATGATATGGAAAGAAAAAAAGGACAGAATTAAAGAAAAACCAAATAGAACTTCTTAAATTCAAATCATACTTATTATAATTTAAAGCCATGAGACAAGCTCTTGGCAAGGATTCAGAGAAAAAGGAACCCTCGTGTCCTGTTGGTGGGAATGCAGACTGATGCAGACACTGTGGGAAACAGTATGGAGGTTCCTCAGAAAGTTAAAAATAGACTTAACCATATGATCCAGCAATTGCATTACTGGGTATGTACTCAAAGAAGACAAAAACACTAATTCAAAAGCGTATATGCACTCCTTTGTTTATATTGCAGCATTATTTATTATAGCAAAGATACAGAAGTAGCCCCAGTACCCATTTATTGATAAAATGAATGGACAAAGAAGATGTGGGGTGCATGAGTGTGTCTGTCTGTGTATGTATAAGAGTATTTATATATAATGGAATAGTGCTCAGCCATAAAAAAGAATGAGATCTTGTCACTTGTGACCATAAAGATGGACCCAGTGGATATTATGCTAAGTGAAATAAATCAGACAGAGAAAGACGAATACCATATGATTTCACTTATACATGGACTCTGAAAAACAAATGAACAAACAAAAACAGAAACAGACCTATGAATACAGAGAACAAACTGATGGTGGCCAGAGGGGAGGGGTATAGGGGGGTGGGCAAAATAGGGGGAGTGGAGTGGGAGGTTCAGGATTCCAGCTATGAAACAAGTCAAGGGCATGGAAGGTGCAGCATAGGGAATTAAAAAAAAACAAAAAAACGAGATAAACTGAAATTGCACACCAGTAAAGAATTGGTGAGCTTGCAAACAGATGGGAAGTTGCCACCAAGAACGAGCAGAGTTATTTACAAGGGATGGGAGGTGGCATTTGGAAATGGACAAGCATGGATGATAGAATGCAGACCTGTGTCTGGGAGCTGTTCCCCAAGAAGAGAATGAGGACAAGGGGAAATTATGGTGGAACTTTTATTTTCTAGATTTAAATAAATTTTATTTTATTTTATTTTATTTTTTTTTAAAGATTTTATTTATTTATTTATTTGAGAGAGAGAGAGAGAGAGAGAGAAACAGCATGAGAGGGGATATGGTCAGAGGGAGAAGCAGGCTCCCCGCTGAGCCGGAAGCCCGACGTGGGACTCGATCCTAGGACTCCGGGATCATGACCTGAGCCGAAGGCAGTCGCTTAACCAACTGAGCCACCCAGGCGCCCCTATTTTCTAGATTAAAAAAAAAAAAACCAAACCCTAAATCTTTAGATTGAAGAAGCACAAAATATGCTAATTGAGGTCAACAGAAAGAAATCTATCCCCGGATGCACGATAGGAAGACTACAGATTATTAACAAAAAAAAAAAGAGAGAGAAATTTAAAATCAGGCAGAGGAAAAGATGATTGCATGTAAAAGAGCAATTCAAGGGGCGCCTGGATGGCTCAGTCGGTTGAGCATCCAACTCTTGATTTCAGCTCAGGTCATGATCTCAGGGTCATGAGATCGAGCCCTGCATTGGGCTCTGTGCTCAGCAGGGAGTCTGCTTAGGATTCTCTCTCCCTCTCCCTCTGCCCCTCCTGCTTGCTCGCTCGAACTGTCTCTCTCTTAGTCAATCTTTTAAAAGAAAGAGAGTAATTCAGTTGATAGCAGACTGCTTATTCATCAACCAAAATAAATGTGAGGCAGTAATGGAGGAATCCCTTCAAGTATTGAGTGAAAATATAAGAAACCTAGATTCTATGATGAACTTAACCATTATGTAAGAATAAAGGAAAATAAAGATAGTGCAGGCAAAGATTTAGGAAAAATTACTACTTGCATATTCTCACTGTAAGATCTAGTTAAGGTGTGCGAAACAGGTTACATACAGAAGGAAGAAATGACATGCAAGTAGCCAGATAGCATAAAAAATTGAGTGAGTGCCATGCAGGGGATGGAAATTCTCTTCTCTCTACCTGTCTGAGGTTTCTTGAGTGGGGCCCTGCAAATTAAATTGATCAACAGAGGAAAGCATGCATTTTATTAACATGTGCAGGGCATACACGGCAGAACTCGGTGATGAGTAACTCAAAGGCAGGTTCGAACTTGGGCTTAGGTAGCACTTTTTACAAAAGAACAATTTTGAGGGAAGTGACAAGGCAAAGGAGAAGAAATTTGAGTTCCTAGGGTGGTAGATATATGGGGGAGCAAATGGAAGATAAGGCTTATTAGTCAGGTTTATATGTAGGTTCCTGTGGTGCCTTTTTGGGTTCATGTCTGGCTGATAAGGCTCTGGAGTTGTGTTTGGTGATTGACTTCTGTCCTTCCAGGTAGGGGGGGAGGACGACAGCTTTACAGTCCGTGTCCTACTTTTAGGGCACATAGGGGGAGGGCAGAGATCTCTTCTGTATCTGTTTCTCGACTGCCTTCAGCTCAAAATAATCCTTATGCCCAAGCGGCATTTTGGGGATGGCATATTCTGCTACCTTTTGGTGTAAAGAAATACAAATAAGCATTGAATTAAAACATTAATTTGTGGGGGGGGGGCAGTAAAGCAAAGTGAAACAAAAATACCAGAAAATAATAGCATGGAACATTGGGAAGGCGATCAGTGTTTCAAGGTCTTTAACTCTTTGAAAGATAAGGTGTTGCATTTTCGTGTAAAGTGTGTGTATTAGAAAAGCAAGAGGAACCACAAGGGGAATAGAATGTGGCACTTCAAAATTAGTAACAGGATGTAAAGGGAAGTAAATAAAATAGAAAAAAAACACACACCCTAGAAGGGACTAAAAGAGCAAAAAGCAAGGAAAGAGAAAACAAAGTAAAGGTATAAGAGCTCTATATCTGCAGTCATAAAAGATGGAATAAACTCAACGGCTCATAATATAGAGCACCACAGGTGGAGAAACATGCACGCTGTTTCTGAGATTCGCCTAAAGCATGGGGACACAGGAAGGTTGGAGGTGAAGGGATGAAGAACACCCAGGTAAAATGACAGACTGAGCACAAACATCGAATTTTGTTCCCTTCCAAATCCACTACAATGAAGGGATTTTTTTTTTTTCTTAAAAGACACGAACCCAGAAAGGCATGAAGAATAGGAGAGGAAACAAAATTTTGTGAGCTGTGAAGCTTAGGATGGACTGATAACTCACTGGGCAGGTCTCAGAAAGTGGACTCTGGAGCCAGAAGTAGGATATGCAGACAGCCAATGTCATTTACATCCTGAAATGCTTGCAGGCTCAGGGGTGGTGGCCCCAGGGATCTCTAAAATGGTGAGTGGGTCTTTGGGGGCTGGGAGGTGATCCAAGTTATGAGTGTGTGTCAAAAGCTAGCTTAGTACCACTTGGGTGGCTCAAACCCAGCCCTTATCCACAGCTCTGGGAGACCCTCATCTCCTCACCCCCAGCCCCAGCAGAAAAGTTTGGAGCTTTATTCTCTGGAGGGTGTAAAGCAGAGTGTCCCCAGACTGTGGACACCATGTAAGGGTATCACACATTAAAGTGACTAATGCCTACTGGATGCTGAGATCCTGCATCTCTCTTCCCCCACCCATGCGACCCCCAGGTCTTTCCTCTCTAAGCAGGAAAGCAAGAAGAGCCTTCTCTGGCAAATGTGACCAGACCAACGGGAATGAACTAAAGACCCAAAGATACTGGAGGGGGCAATGCTTGAACAAATGGCCCAGCTCAGCCATCCTATAGATAAACTCGCAGCCAATGAGCTTTACTCACATACTCCAAGCTGTTGAGTCCCCACTCTTAAATATAGACAGGCGTCCAAGCTCACCAGACTGAAGGAAGTCTAACTTGCAGCCTACATACCAAAACAGTAGGGTAAGAGAAAATATAACTCGGAAGAAATAGATATTGCATGGGAAGGAGAAGATTTCAGGAAAACGCATGCTTACATTGTCAAGTGCTAAGAGAAAATAATGCGTCCATGAATGAAAGCCAGTATGTTTTCCAATTATATCTCAATGAAAAAAGAATTAAAAAACCCAGGATGTCAAGGGCGCCTGGGTGGCTCAGTCGGTTAAGCATCTGCCTTCGGCTCAGGTCATGATCCCAGGGTCCTGGGATCGAGTCCCACATCGGGCTCCCTGCTCTGCGTGGAGCCTGCTTCTCCCTCTCCCACTCCCCCTGCTTGTGTTCCCTCTCTCGCTGTGTCTCTCTCTGTCAAATAAATAAATAAAATCTTTAAAAAAAAAAACAAAAAAACCCCGGATGTCAATAAAAAAATGCTATGGGAAAGAAATACTCTGAGGTCAAGAGCAAGCTCATGGAAACAAAGAGTACATTTTCAGTGGCAAGTTTGGAAGATAAAGTCGAAGAAATTCAGAGAAGAGAAGAAGACAACCATGACACGAAAAATAGAAAAGTTGGAAGATTAGAGGACCAATCCAGGAAGCTGTAGGCCTGAATAACTTATATTATTAAAATATAAGAATAACAGTAGTAATAAAGTAATCCAGAAGAGTTTTCCAGAACAGAGGACATGAGTTCTTATATTGAAAGGGTACACTGAGCTCCTGATACCACAGAAAAAGTTGAACCTGTGCCCAGGCTCACCACTAGGGAAGACTAGTGACAAGTACAGAGATTCTACAACCTTCTGGAGGAAAAAAAAATGGTCACATAGAAAGGCTCAGAAATCTGAATGCTTCCAGACTTGCCAAACGCAACAATGGAAGCAAGGAGATTGCTATGGAATGCCTTCAAAATTCTGAAGGAATATGATGCTCAGCATAGAATTCAATATCCTGCCTAGCTATCAATCAACGTGAGGGTAGAGGGGAATGTCATGACGTGCAAGGTCTCAAAAATTGGCTTCCTGCACACTCTTTCTCAGGCAGCTAAAGCAAATTGTGCTCTACAATGGAGTGACCAAGAAAGAGGCAGACACAGGATATGGGAAATAAGATCTACCCGGCATAGGACAGAGGGAGAGAAAAATCCCAGGAAATGGGGAAGGAAGTGTGCAGGAAGACAGCTATGCCAAGGGATCAAAGGAAAAGTCAATCTGGGTTGACACGGGTCCAGGAGAGATGAATTCAAGATGGAATTCATTCACAACAAGTGTGGTTCAGTATCTTAGACAAAATAGTGGTGGAGGATTTGGGGTTCAGTCAGGTCTATAGAAAAACTAAACAAGCAAACCAAAGCAAGACAATTATTAACTCTACAGAGAGGACAAATGTATGGGAAAGACCAGTGATCACGATATCCTACCCAGCCAAACTCTGAATGGCACATGGGATCAAAATGTAGTGCAAATACTAAAGGTCTACTGATATAAATAAATGCGGGGAGGGCAGATGTAAAGATCACCAAATTCTCATTTTCCAGAGGTGACTGTCAATAGCCAATGCTTAAAAAAAAAAAAAAAAAAAAAAAGATTAACAAGTAGCATCAGGAGCATGGAGGTAAGTAATAGACAAATCAAAAAAAAGACACCATTAAAAAAGGAACAAAGAGAAGCCCACGACCTGGAAGTTGAAATTTCCAGCAGATCGGAAAAAGAATTTGAATGCCTTCTACATCCACACCCATATTTTTAAGTATATATAAAGAACTCCTACAAGTGAATCCAAATAAATAGATCCTGGTACCCAAACAGTCAACGAATGTGAACAAGCACATCCTACAAGAGGGATCTTGAAATGGCCCAAAAGACGAGAAGTCACTCAGTCTCACCAGTAGCCAAGAAATGCAAATTAAAACCAGGATGAGGTAATATTTGGCATCCACCAGTTTGGCAGAAATTAAACGCCTTACCAGTACCGAGGCTTGGCAAGAGTGTAGAGCATTGGGAACTCTCATTTGCACTGGTGAGGGCGAAGTTCGTGTTATCACTTTGGAGAACAAGTATCTAGTAAGGTTAAGGGGATGCATATCTCCTCTCCTTTGCACAGGAAAATTGTCACCCGCAAACAGAGACCGTACATGCATACAACAGCCCTGTTGGGGTAGGGAAGGACATGATGGCCCTCTTCATTAAGGGAAGGCTTAATAAATGGTGAGATGAAATTCCGTGCACCAGAATGATTTAATTCTGCATGTATCAAGATGCGTAAGCCCCAAAGATAATGATGCATGAACAAAGCAAGCAGGAGGGATAGGTTCAGTGTAAAACCATGGATGTGAACTTGTTTAGGTCAGGCATCGGTATTCTATATTGTATGTGAACGCTTATATATGTCATAAAAGTGTAAACACAAGAACAGGAAAGATACATACTAACTTTAGAATCCGTGGCCTCTTCTCCTACTTTTATTGATTTGTAAAAACTTTTTACATGCATTTCAGTTAGCCTGGTACCATGTAAAAGGAGGACTGCCTGGATACCCGTATACCCAGTTGGGGAATTAACGTCTTTGAAATAATGTATCTTCTCATCTAGGAATATAACATAGGTCTTCTGTTATTTGCTTATTATGAATACATTTTTGTAATGGTTTTTCATTCCAATTTTCCACTGGATAATTGTTCCTTCTATACAAGGTAAGTTGTCATGGGCTTAGGAGAAGGAGTTCTCTTTTTAGAAGAGCCTCCTGAAACTGAGTTTTGGGGGATGAGTTGAAAGATGTTGGTCTGTTTGTGCATCGGTTGTAGTTCATTTTCCAGTGTTCAGGGGACATAGAAGCATCTGGGTCTTACAGGCCTGTACATTCAGCATGTAGGAGTCTTTTCTCCCTACGTCTCTCTCTCTCATATTTCCCTACGTGTTCCCTTTACTCCAGGCACGTGGTAGATACTTTGCATCATTTAAAAAATGGATAATTTTAGAAATCAAAATGAACAGAACAAGTTGGGCAGCTTGGATACAGGGACCTCTTGCTCCGTGGGGTATTTAGCATGGCTTTCTCCTCCCGTTGCAGGAAGATGCTGAAACTCTGCGGAGAGACAGAGGACAAGCTGGCTCAGGAGCTGATCCACTTTGAGCTGCAGGTGGAGAGAGACGTGATCGAGCCCCTGTTTTTGTTGGCCGAGGTAAGCCGCATGCATGAGGCCACACCGCCCGGTGACCCTGTTCTTCATCAGGAATTATCACTGCCCGTCTGCCTGGTCTGGATTCCCCGATGTGGCAGCCCTTCCCGCTGCCTGCCGGTCCTCTCTCCCACCCACACTCTTCTCCCCTGGTGTTCCAGTGGGGACAGGAACAAAGCTAGCTCCCAACGTCCTTCCCCACCAGAGCCTGCACGCTATACCAACCCTGCCCTCCACCCATCTCCCGTCTTCTGGAAAAGGAACAGCAGCCCCCAATCTCAGGAGGAGACTCTCTGTAGGGCCATTGGCACCTTATGTGTACATGCATCCCTTCTCTTTCATTTAATTCGATTTTATTATTTCTTACTTTAATTCCAGTGTAGTTCACACACAGCGTTCTGTGAGTTTCAAGTGCACAGTATAGCAAATCAACAGTTCTATACCTTCCGCAGTGCTCTTGTGATAAGTGCACTCTTCATCCCCTTCATCTTTGGATCTTAAAGGATGCAAAATAAAACCATTTGGGTACAAAGACAGCTTGATGTCCACGTGACAATTTGGCTAGCTTCAACCAAGTGAAATTGTGTCAAGTAAGAATGGAAATGGTTGGGGATTTTATGTGCCTTGAGCCCTTGACTTCCTGCCAGTTGCCCTGAATTGGCCATCCAGGACCTCCCCAGCCCCGTCCCATGGAACTGCAGATGCTCTGTGTCTGCATGGTTTGCTAACCACTAGCCACCTGGGAGCTAGTAAGCTCTTGAAACGTGCTTAGTGTCACTGAGGGAACTACCTTTTAAATTTTATTTAATTTTTGTTCATTCGAATTTAAAATGCTGTAGCCACAGGAAGCTAGAGGCTACCATATTGGACGGCATTGCCCTAGACCAGGCCTGGTTTCCTTCCTGGACTGCCCCCAGCACCTCCCCATCCCCTGGTGCAATTTCTGTCACAGAATGGACGAGCAAATCATTAACCAGAGTGCCTAAAAGTTTTCAAGGAGAAAATCCTATATATGGTGGTTTGACAGAGATCAGCTCTAGACTCCTCAGATGCTGTTCTCTTATAGGCTGTTGCCCAGCCAAGTGCATGTGTGAGAGGCCGTTTGCTCTTCGGAAAGGTGGCCTGGGGTCTCGGGCAAAGCCTGAAGCAAACCCAAGGGACGCACTTGACCTGGGTGCTGAGACTCGCTTGTACCAACCAGATGTCCCCAGTCCCCCTCCAGCTTTGCTTATAGGCTCTGTGGTGCCTGGAGGAACCCGGGGCCACTTCTTCTCTTCCCTATCAGATATGGTTCCCCTCCATACGTTACTCACCCCTGCTCCGAAGACCTTCCTCGCGGTTCTCCCTTCTATATAAAAGCCGCGGCCTGAGATGATTTTTGGTTTCAATATAGTCAGTTTTCCCTTTTAAATTCGCACTTCCTGCCCTCTTTGGTTGAGCCCCAGGCCCAGAATCCCACACTGGGATGTTCAGTGAAGTCATTTTTAGAAATAAAAATGTAAAAAGAGCATCCGCATACAACCAACCACTATGGAAGAACTTGTCATAGCCGAACAGAGCTGTGGTAATGTTTATTGGGTATTTATTGGGGGGGGGGGAAAGTCTTACTTTATTTCTATAAAAATACATCCTGATTGCATTCCCCCATCAGCTCTCAAGCCTCCTGAGACTAGTCGTGCTGCTGTCTGTTTTGAATTAGGTCTGTGTGTCAGCTCGTTCTGCTTTTCTCCCCACGCATGGCCCTTGTGCTGTGGACAGAGCTGGGATGGAGCCCATGTTTGCTGGCCGAGGTGGGGGGCAAGAATGAGGCCGGGCATAATAAGTGAGCAGAGGAGTGCAGAGTCCCATAAGAGGGTCGGGGTGATGGAGGGCCTGGCAGGTGTCCAGTGAAGAAAGAGCAGCGATTAGCTCAGGCAAGAGAATTGAGGGTTTCCTCTGGAAATGAGGACTGGGAGGCCTCCAGCCCACTTAAGAATTCATCTGGAGCTTCAGTCTGACTCTGTCCTGTAACCACAGGTGGAAATCCCAAACATTCAGAAGCAGAGGAAACACTTAGCAAAGCTGGTGCTGGACATGGATTCTTCACGAACAAGGTACAGAAGCGTTTCTTTGCTTTCCTTTTTGCTTCTTGGAAAAGTGATTGTATTTGGGGGGTGGGGAGGGGTTTGTGGGCAGAGGCATTTGTTGAGTGTGTTTTCATTCTCTTAAGGTTTTCTTAATACCCTGACGTGGCAGGCACTGGAGGTGAGCGTCGTGAGTCAGAGATTTGGGGTCCCCGCTCTCATGGGGGCTGTAGCCCAGTGTGGGAGACGGAGACCCTAGACAGGCCAGTGAACACATAGCGACTTCAGGAGTCTGTAAGTCCTGTGAAGAAGGTAGCATGGTGCAGTTTTAGGAGAGAGTGATGGAGAAAGGGAGGCTACAACATTAGGTAGGCTGAAACAGAGAAGGCTTCTTAGAGATGACACTTGATCTGGGACCTAAATGACAAGAAGGATGCAGCCATGCAGAGATTGGGCACAGCATGTGCAAAGGCCCTGAGGCAGAGGGTGAGGGGAAGATCAGGCTGCCATATTCAGGGTACAGCACCAAGGCGGCGTGGCCGGGGTAAGAGCCAAGGGGGGCATAGTAGGAGCTGAGCTGAAAGAGGCAGGGTGGGTGAGGTGTTGTGTCTAAAGAAGGGGGAAATTTCTGGTTCTGGGACCTGCCCACCTTTTCCTGAAGCCAGTGGTATGTAGCTCTTCTTTCTGTAGCCATCCTCTGAACCTGAGGCCAGTAGGAGGGAAGCAGCATTCTAGCTGTGATGCTCTCCTCCTGCAGCGTCTCTCAGAAGCCTCTGGAAAGTGCCTGTTATAGCAGGGGGGCTCCAGAGGCCCTGAGATGCCATTGACTCTGACCGCCATATGTCCTGATGGTGGGTATACAGCTTCCTAATTCTCGCAGTGGTGCGTGCACCTAACTCTGCAGCTGGAAGGAATGCAGGTTCCTGAAGATTAATATGGAAGGAACATTTTGGTGCTACCAGAGGCCCTTTGCAGGTCAATTTTAATCCTCTCCTTACCTCTTTTTAATTTTCTTGAGGAAAAGAAACAAAACCAGAAAATACTGATCTACTCGGGCTGAGAGATGTAACATAGGGTCCTGAAGCTGGAGTCCGAGGTGAGGTGGTGAGATCCAAGGTCACCAGTTTTCGAGACCTGTGAGCTTGGTCAAGTCAGTCAACCTCCCAGAGTTGCAGTTCCATCACCTGCGCGTAGGTAGTAAAACCGTTCATGAGTTGACGTGAGGAGGTTGTGTTGAGTGTCAATTGAGATCACGTTTGTCACAGTGCTTCCCAAGTGCTAGATGGGACCCTGGAATTCTACATCTGGACCAATTCGAAGTGTAGGGCGGTCCCCCCAAGACCAGAAGTAGAACAGGTTAGAAGAGCAGGGAAACAAAGATGTCTTTCGTTAATTTAGCGTTTCCCAAACTTCAGTCCACCCGACCAGTTTTGGACATCTGAACCCACGCATCTCGAAAAAAGTCAGTCCGCTTCTTCAAAATGAATCCATTCAAAAAATGTTAGAGCCCTACCACACATCGAAAGGTACTACCCTTTGCTGTAAATGCCAGGTAGACGCAGAAGTGAACGGGACAAAAGCAAAGCCAGTGATGGTAAACTTTACATCCTGTTGCCTGTGGAAGGCTGTGATCCCGAAGCTCATCTCCTTCTGTTAAGAGGGAAGAGGAGGAGGAAAGTTGTCAAAGTTTTTCCGACCCAGGTCTGAGGCTCTCTCCTTAGCACTTGTGGAAGAAGACTGAGCAGGCTGCGTGGGGAGTATGGATTTGGCATCACCGACTACCGTATCCTCAGACCACGTCCACTTGCCGCCCATGACATCAGCGTTCCAAGACCCACATCTGGGGAGTCATACGAGGAGTAAAGACATGCTGATTGTCAGGAGATCTCTACCTCCCCCGTCCAAATTTTTATGCTTCTAAACTTCAGTCGAGACCCTTGAGAACCCTTGTCTTTTCAGAAGCCAACCCACCCCAACTTCCTGCCTTTTCCCTAACCCCTCACTCTTGAGTCAGCATGAGGACCGCACCCCAAGATACAGCAGTGAGGGTAAGACCAGATGCTATACCATTGAATAGCAAGGATCACCAGCCGCTCTTCTGGAACAGTGGGTTCTTCCTGCCCCCACCCCCGCCCCACCCTGCCTCCCACTGTGGTCACTTTGTAGGTTCTTTTCTTTGCGGGATTACCAAACCTTTCTTTAGTCCCTTTTTGTCGTTCCTGAGTTACCTTGAATTCTACAACAACTTGGGCAGATACTGTCAAATCCACCTCCTTTATCCAATGTTTAATTAGGTCTGAATCCAAGGTGTGTATTTGCCTCGATTCGAGTAAATCTGGCTTGTCTGCTTGGAAAGCCAGTCGTACAAGCCTTAATATCCTCAGAGAAGACAAAAGCTTAGAAGTTGAGTAAAAGATGATAGATAAGGAGGCTGGAGGAAAAACTCAAGGAAGCTTTATGCTGAATTTAAGATTGTGAATTGAATTGGATCGAATGATACACAGTGTCTTTTCTGTGATAGATTTGGTTTGGCAGTGGTTGCAGAAGGAGCCCTGTTCCTTCCCGAAGGCTGCCTCAGTTTTTCTGAGAATGTATCTCAAGATCAGCCCTTCTCAGTCCAGAACGCTTTATGCTTCTGCTGAATAGCTGTGGACTAAATTTCATCCTCCCTCCCCGAATTCACATGTTGAAGCTCTAACCCCCTAATATGACTCTATCTGGAGATAGGACCTTTCAGAACTCATTAAGCTTAAGTCAGGTCATAAGGGTAGGGCCTTAATCCAGTTGGGTTGGTGGCCTTCTAAGAAGAGGAAGGGAGAGATTTCTTTCTCTTTACACACTCACTCACAGGAAAGGCCCAAGCGAGGAGACAGTAAGAGAGCCTCCACCAGGCCAAACCCTGCCAGAACCTCGATCTGGAGCTTCCAGCCTCCAGAACTTCTAGAAAACTAATTTCTGTTGCTTAAGCCACCTACTCTATGGTATATGGTCATGGCACCCCGGGCAGATTAAGACACCTGCCTTCTCTGGAAGGTGAACTAATATAGATAAAACAGGAGAGTTGGGGGATGGATACTGGGCAGCTCATGGAATTAAAGAAGTAGCTAATTAGGAGAGATTTTAGTGCCTCCAGGACGGACTGCACAGTCTCAGCTTAGAAGCTGTTCCTCACCTCCTACCTCTCCCGCATACAGGCATCTTAGATCCAGTGTCTTCATAGTCCCTTGGGCTCCTGTCTCCCCAGCATGAGACCTGTTCCTTTTGTTCTAATTGTAAAAGTACAGAGGAGAGGGTTCATTTGTCTAGACTTTGCTTAGATGCCACTTCCTTGGCCTGTCAGTTGGTCAAGGTGATGAAGGATGGGTGTGGGCTTAGCTTGCATCAGGGACCCTCACCTGGGCCACTCACAGTGAGGGTCATTGCAAAATCAGCAGGTTCCCGGGGCGCCTGGGTGGCTCAGTTGGTTAAGCGTCCCACTCTTGGTTTCAGCTCAGGTCCTGATCTCATGGGTTGTGAGATCAAGCCCTGCATTAGGCTCTTTGCTCAGTGGAAATCTGCTTTGCTTGGATGTTTTTTCCCTCTGCCCCTTCCCCTGCTCTCTCTCTTTCTTTCTCTAAAATAAATAAATCTTAAAACAAAACAAAACAACCCTGGCAGCTCCCTTTGGCCCACACATCAGAGCAGGAGTAGGGCAGGACCTCACAAACCGGAGGATGCCAATGACAGAGGAAAGGAGACTGGACAGATGAAAAAATAAATGTCCCTCTAAAGGAACGTTCCTGTCTGCCTTCCAAAAATTCCTCTTTTCGACTTCCCGTTGCCCTGAACTCCTCTTGCCTTTGCCCTCTTGACCCTTTTCCTGATCCCTAAAATTCCATACCCTTATTTCTGGCCCTTTTCTCTCCTCTAGCCTTCATTAAAGGTAGTATTCCGTCTCTACCTCCCCAGCCATATAGCAATGGCACCTTTCCCAGCTAATAACGGTGTCACATCAGAGCAGAACTTTCTTCTTTTTATTTTATTTAAATTCAATTAATTGGGCGCCTGGGTGGCTCAGTTGGTTAAGCGACTGCCTTCGGCTCAGGTCATGATCCCGGAGTCCCTGGATCGAGTCCCGCATCGGGCTCCCTGCTCGGCAGGGAGTCTGCTTCTCCCTCTGACCCTGCCCCCTCTCATGTGCTCTCTCATTCTCTCTCTCTCAAATAAATAAATTTAAAAAAAATCTTTAAAAAAATTTTTTCAATTAATTAACGTATAGTGTATTTTAAGTTTCAGAGGTAGAGTTCAGTGATTCATCAGTTGCATATAACACCCAGTGTTCATTACATCACGTGCCCTCCTTAATGCCTGGAACTTTCTGCTCTGCAAATTTGAAAGCTCAGACTTCTTGGCCGAGAATCCCTGGTTTCTTCTCTTGTCGGAGCAGGGAAGTGCTTGAGTTTATTTACAGAACAGATGTCTGACAAGGCCACCATACCTTGAAATTCATGATTATGGTCTCTTTTCCCAACAGATTACTGTCCATACACATTTTCCCATGTTTTCCTTGCTATTTTATTATCTGATTTCCACACTCTCATTCTGCATCTTTTTTTTTTTTTTTTTGACAGAGAGACAGCGAGAGAGGGAACACAAGCAGGGGGAGTGGGAGAGGGAGAAGCAGGCTTCCTGTGGAGCAGGGAGCCCGATGCGGGGCTCGATCCCAAGACCCTGGGATCATGACCTGAGTCGAAGGCAGATGATTAACGACTGAGCCACCCAGGCGCCCCTCTCATTCTGCATCTTATCACTATTTTGTAATCTCAAAGTAGGTTACTTACTTCTCTATTGCGAATAAAGTTCCCTATAAAGGGAAGGGGAAAGATCTAAACTGCCAAGAGATTATCTAAAGTAGATATTTAGGGGAAAAGACAGAGGGAAATAGGAAAGAAAAGGAAGGTAGTTTCGGGAAATATCTTCATTTTAATAGACACATATTAAGGATGATTGAGGTTTTTACAAAAAATCAAATCCAGATCTTCGAAGCCTCAAAAAATCAGTGTCTGTTTACTTAATTTTTTTTCATACATATGTTGGTTAGTTGTTTTTTCTTGAGATAGCATGAGCCACATTGTGGTTGCAGGTTTGTTTGTTTGTTTATTTATTTGTAGGCTCCACACACAATGTGGGGCTTGAACTCATGACCCTGAGATCCTGAGATCAAGAGCCATGTGCTCTACCCATTGAGCCAGCCAGGCACCCCTGAGCTTAATCTCATAATCTACCATATTCATTATCAGCAATCTAAATTATAGCCACGACATCTCCTATTTTATTTGACAAAAAAAAATCCCACAACGCTTTAATACTCTGTTTCAAGTGGCTAAACCGGGAGTTTATTAAACAGATCATTTCTGTCGGGCAAACCATATGAGAAAGAACTACCCAGGAATTTTTGCAATCCGTATCTGTTAGTTTAGATTTTTCAACATCTTTGAGTAGACTATTTCCTTTGTAATTTGCCCTGAATTCTTTTTTTTTTTAGATTTTATTTATTCATTTGACAGAGAGAGACACAGCGAGAGCGGGAACACAAGCAGGGGGTGTGGGAGAGGGAGAAGCAGGCTTCCTGCTGAGCAGGGAGCCCGACGTGGGGCTCGATCCCAGGACCCTGGGATCATGACCTGAGCCGAAGGCAGATGCTTAACGACTGAGCCACCCAGGCGCCCCAAAGCCTTCTTAAGTCCTTTTCCTGTGAATGCATTTTTTTTTCAAGATTTTATTTATTTATTTAAAGCGAGTGTGAGCAGGGGCAGAGGGAGAGAGAGAATCTCAAGCAGACTCCCCGCTAAGCACGGAGCCAGACCTGGGGCTCGATCCCAGGACCCTGAGATCATGACCTGAGCCGAAATAAAGAGGCGGATGCCCGACCGACTGAGCCACCCAGGCGCCCCCCCTCCCCACATGAATGCATTTTTTTTTTAAAGTAACACAGAATCCTTTATTTTATTCTTTTTTGCTAATACCAAAGAGGACTTTCATTTCCCTTTCTTGTGTCATGGTCTTGTACTCTTCTCTTTGTCCCGCAGATAACAAACTCAGAGAAAGAAGAAATCATGTAGAGAAACCACCTAGGGAGTCTTGACTCTCAAAATGAGGGTCACATTGCGCTTTGTGCCTCTAGGATGGATGGCCTAAGAGCCAGATAAGGCCTATAGGGCCGTCAGGTTGGGTCTGCACGCCACAGGCCTGAATGGTGTTTAAGCAAAACTGTTTATAGTCTGTTGTCCTATTTCACTGGGAGTGTTCACATGACAGTTTTCAGCGTCTCTTGTCAACTGAGGCAGGCCAGCACCCCCACCAGGGTCCCCTTCCCCTCACTGTCCCTCCCGACTTCCCCGGAGAGACTGCAGTCCCCTGTTGGCCGCCCTTTGTCATCCTAACGACCCTATTGTTTTTCTTAGGGCCGTGAAGTGGTTGTGCATCTCAACTGTCCCAGTTACAAGTAGGGAAACAAAGGGTGGACTGGTTTTTTAAGATACTGACCCATCTGACTTGGTGCTCTTACTCCAGGGCCCTTATAAGCCTCTGAATGTACAGACTCCGTGGAAAAAGAACCCACTGCTCATCCCTGCTGCAACTCCTATATTGTCTTGTGTGATCGGAACCTTCCTTCGGGGCTCTTGGTAATTCCCTGATAATGCCAGGGCCGGCAGAAACATCTGTACTTCGCCACGACACTTTCCCGAGCCGCCTCCTCCGACACCTGCTGTCCCCGCACAAGGACAGACGTCGAAGGAAATACGAACGCGGTATCCGAGTGTCGACGGGAAGCTTTTTTGTGCTGACCGGTGGAGATTTGGGGCTTCGGACTCGTTTTGATTCTCCTCTGCTTCTCCTCTGCTTCTCTCTCCCAGCCGACACCGGCGACTGGCTCCGGCCACGTCGGCGAGTGTTTCCAGACTCCGAGCCCACGGGGAAGGCAAGGAGCGTATGGGGATGACATAGACCGGGCCTCGGACAAAGCACCGGTGATGGTCATCGGGCAACACATTTCCGGGAAAATGGTGGCAGGCTGGGGCATGCCTGTCCCCTCCGTGTCCGGCCACAGCTGCCCCCTTCTTCCTGGGTAGTGTTTGTAAGCCGCTCTCTTCTCCGCGTCCCCAAGGTGTTATTCCCAGGGCTCTCCACCTGTCTCATGCCTCCCCTCTTTTTCTCCTGTTTTCCATCAGGTGGCAGCAGACTTCCAAGTCTTCAGGTCTGTCCGGTGGCTTGCAGCCTGTGGGTGCCAAAGCTGATGCCCTCAGGGAAGAAATGGAGGAAGCTGCCAACAGAGTGGAGATTTGCAGGGTACCCTCCTCCCCACCCCCGTCTTTGCTCCTCTTTACCGGGACAGATGGAGGAACCCTAAGGGAGTCCCTTTTTCCTCACTGGCATTTTATTAAAACCTAAGCGGGAGCTCTGGTTGAGCTGAATGTCCCCAAGCTTGCCTGCTGGTGTCTCTAGAGCCTGGGGTGAGCCCTAAGAGTTGGGGGCTTCGAGGCGGCCTCAGCAGGGTTCCCGTGCGTCGGGCACAGAGGAAGTAGCCTTGGTGTATCTATGAAGCTTTTGTGAGGTACCTGAGTCCCACAGAATGGACTCTCGGCCGGGTGGAACAGTTGAGAATTTAGACAGTAGACCAACCTTGACTCGCTGTTGGTATTAAATTGTTTATCTTTTTGTTCACCTGGTAATGATATTTCCTGAGTCACTTGACCCATCTCCTGCCTCCTGGGACATAGTCAACTGTGAAGTTGAAATGCTGACCAGGGAGATAGTCTGCGAAAAGAGGAGTTCCCTCTTGTTAAGAGAGGAATGTCGCATTCTAAGAAATCCATGCCTCTGCCCTTGGGAATGTCAGAAGCCCTTTGTTACACCTGTTCAGACGTTTCCCATCTTTGCCACAAATGTTGTATGGGGCAGAACTAGCAAGACCCCGTTCATGAGACTGTGTGTATATGCACATCTATATACACGTAGATATGTCCGTTCGTGTATATGTCCGTTCTGGTTTAGATCCAAGGAACAAGAGGATCACATTTTCTGGAAGCGTGCTGGCTACCCACGTGTTGTCTTCATCTCATACATTTTTGTTTTTTGTTTTTTGCTTTTTTAAGATTTTATTTTATTTATTTGAGAGACAGCATGCGCGAGTTGGGGGAGAGGCAGAGGGAGAAGCAGACTCTCCGCTGAGCAGGGAGCCCCATGAGGGACTCGATCCCAGGACCCCAGGATCACGCCCAAGCCAGAGGCAGATGCTTAACCAACTGAGCCACCCAGGCGCCCCCTAATCTCATAGTTTTAAAAGAGCGTCGCCACTTGGCATGCAGACATCTCTGTTCTTTGTGGCTTTCTCTAGTTTTGTCAGCTTGCCCTCTGGCTTCTCTTTTTATAGCCTCTCTGTGCGGGGTGGCTTAACCTTGCATTCAGGTGACGTTCAGGGTCAGATAGAATTGCTGTCTGGAATTAGGAACCCTGACGAGTCGGTAAAGAATTCATGATCTCTCCACCTACAGTACCATGGACTCGAGCAAAGTAAGACTTTGAAATACTTCATCAGGTCCCAAGACACATCGTGAGTACGGCTGATTTGTCAGTTGAACTCCCGTGTAAAAGACAAATACTTAGCTGGTGCCATTTGTGAAGTCTAACTCTCATGCTGATCTCACTTCGACTCTGTGAAGTGTCTACCCATTTTACCGTGGACTTGTGTTCTTTAGTTAAGAGTCCCGTTTCTTACAAAATCACCCCGTAACAGACAAGAGACAGTGGTATTGAGGGGATGCTGGATATGACTCTCCAAGTACGTCAGAACAGGAGTTTAATACCTTCACTGTTCTGTAGCTCTTTACGTGTGCTGTTTTTTTTACCAAAAAAATATGTTCAGTTCCCTTTGAAAGATTAAAGAAGTAATACGTTTCGCCATAACCAGTGAAAAAGCATGAAAATATATCAAGAAGAAACACCAGTAATTGCCCCCCATTCCTACCCAGCAACCCCTCTGTTTCCAGAGAGAGTGGCCAATTCCCCTTCTTCACCAATATTTATTCGGAACTGTTGTGAACGATGGTGCTCTGTTACATGCTGAGTGGCCATAAAAGTGATAAAGATAAAGGAGGTCAGCTGTAGAGCCTTTATATAGACTCCCACCCCTTTTTTTCATAATCATACAAACATACGCTCATAGAATTTTCCTAGTTACTTGTTTCGTGTGTGTGTGTGTGTGTGTGTGTTGCTTATATTAATTTACCACTTGCTTTTCTCAATTAATACATCCTGGATATCTCTCCAGGTTAGTAGCTATCGCTCTAACTTAGTCTTTTTAATAAAGTCCGTAGTATTCCATCATAGGGATACGTATACACCATGATTTGTGTAACTCTTTTCCTGTTGATGGGTATTCAAACTAGTATGTTTTGTTTTTTGCCCTCACCAGGAATGATACAGTCAGCATCTTTATATGTATATTCTTATGCACTGGTAATTTTTTTTTTATGGGATGGCTTTCCCAAAGTGATATTTTTAGGTCAAAGACTATACATTTTAAATTTTGATTGTGACAGTTCACTTCTCTCAAAAGGAAATAGTTCACATTCCCACCAGCAATATACAAAATTGCACATTTCCCCACATCTTTCCCTGTGATGTATATTGTTCCTGTTTTCAACTTTTGCCAGTCTGGTGAGGGGGAAAAAGCTGACTTATCTCTGTTACTGTAATTTTAATTTCCCTGACTATTAGTAATGCTGAGTGGATCTTTGGGTCTTTATTGGATATTCTTCAGATACACATAGACATTCCCAGGTTGGCAAATTGCCTTTTTGTATTGGCAAGTGGACCAACATTTCTGTTTTTCTTAAATATCAATTTATAAATTTTTTCCTCTGCATATTAGGGGTATTAAACTTTCTTCTGTCTGTTCTGTTGCAGATCATTTTTCCAGTCTGCTGTTTGCCATTTGGCTTTGTTGATGTCTGCCATTTAAAAACTTGTTTATATACGTGTATTCCTTTGCATGGGAAAATATCCCAGGCATCTTCCACCTCAAGGTTGAAGCATTTGGTGTGGTCTGTGTTTTGAGTATTGGCCATTCCAGCAGAGATGCAGTGGTGTCTCGTTGTTCTAAATTGTATTTCACAGATGCCGTAAGATGATGAACATCTTTTCACACACTTACTTGCCATCTGTACATATACTTTGGTGATATGTCTGTTCAGGTCTTTTGCCCATTTTTAAATCAGGTTGTTATTTAGCATTGTGTTGTTTCATCTCCCAAGTATTGGGGGTTTTTTCCAGCTCTATTTCTGTAGTTTTATTTCTGGTTTAATTCCACTGTGGTCAGAGAGCCAACACTGTATGATTTCAATTCTTTTAGATTTGTCAAAATGTGTTTTATGGCCCATGATGTGATCTGTCTTAGTGGACATTCCTTGCGAGCTCAGGAAGAATGTGTATTCTGCTGTTGTTGGATGAAGTAGTCTGTGGATGTCAGCTCTATCTAGTTAATGGATGGTGCTGTTGAGTTGAGCTCTGTCCATACTGCAGTTCTCCCTGCTGGAGCTGTCCATTTCTGATAGATGGGTGTTAAAGTCGCCAGCTATAAGAGCGGATTCCTGTATTTCTCTTTGCAGTTCTATCACTTTTGCCGCATGTACTTTGATGCTGTGCTGTTAGGTGCACACGCACGAAGGATTGTTACATCTTGTAGAATGACCCCTTTAGCATTAATGTTGTCCCTCTTTATCCCTGATAACTTCTCTCACTCTGAATGCCAGTCTGGGGGACATATAGCCAGCCACTCCCACTTTCTTTTGATTAGTATTAACAGGGTATGCCTTTCTCCATCTTTTTAATCTATACATATCTTTTTTTTTTTTTTAAAGATTTTATTTATTTGACAGACACACACCGAGAGAGGGAACACAAGCAGGGGGAGTGGGAGAGGGAGAAGCAGGCTTCCCACTGGGCAGGGAGCCCGATGTGGGGCTCGATCCCAAGACCCTGGGATCATGACCTGAGTCAAAGGCAGACACTTAACGACTGAGCCACCCAGGCGCCCCATAATCTACACATATCTTTATATTTAAAGCAGGTTTCTTGTACTTATAGTTGGTCCTTGGTTTTTGATCCACTCTGACAATTTCTGCCTTTTAATTGGTGTCTTTTCATTTTTGTTCAAATAATTATTGAATATAGTTGGATTAATATCTACCATAATTGTTCCTGTTTTTTATTGGTTGCCCTTGTTCTCTATTACTATTTCTCCCTTCAGGTTTTCTGCCTTTTGAGTTTTACTTTAGCATTTTATATGGTTTTATTTTCTGTCCTTTCTCAGCATATCAATTATACTTTTTTGTTTTAGGTTTTTTTAGTGGTTGCCTTAGAGTTTGCAGTATACATTTACAACTAATCCAAATCCACTTTGGAATAGCTAGATACTGTTTCATTTATAGTGCAAGTATCTCTTAGTAAGAAAACGTCACATAGATATGGATACATTGTTGCTATCGTTATGAACAAACACCAGTTCGATTAAGAATAAGAAAAATAAAAGTTTTATTGTAGCTTCACTACCCATTCTCTGATGCTCTTTTCTTCTTTGTGTAGGTCTGAGTTTCTGACCTATATCTTTTTCATTCTCTCTTAAAGAACTTTTTTTTTTTTTTTTTTTTTTTTTAACATTTCTTATTAGGTCTGTGGGCAACAAAGTTTCTTCAAGTCCCTTTTGAAGGTAATTTTGTAGGGTACAGAATTCTCGGTTGAAGGGTTTTGTTTTTGTTTTTTTGGTTTTGTTTTTTTTTTCTTCTCAACACTTTAAATATTTTACCCCACCCTCTTCTGGCTTGCATGGTTTCTGAGGCAAGGTCAGATGTAATTTTTTTTTTTTTTTTTAATTATTTGGTCTTTGAATTCTTTATGTGACTTTTTTTTTTAAAGATTTTATTTATTTGACAGAGAGACACAGCGAGAGAGGGAATACAAGCAGGGGGAGTGGGAGAGGAAGAAGCAGGCCTCCCGCGGAGCAGGGAGCCCGATGTGGGACTCGATCCCAGGACCCCAGGATCATGACCTGGGCCGAAGGCAGACGCTTAACGACTGAGCCACCCAGACGCCCCTCAGATGTAATTCTTATCTTTGGTCTTCTCCTGGCAAATGTTTTTAACCTCTGGCTTCTTTGAATATTTCATTATTATTGATTTTCTGAAGTTTGAATATGATATGCCCAGGTGTCATGTTTTTTTTTCTTTTTTAACCAAAAGCCTAATATCCCAAGTCATGACTATCTAGCTGATATTTTTTAAATTTAACTATAAGGAGTGGCCACTAGAAAGAATGTTTATCTGGGGGGTAATGAGCTACAAAACCATCTGGTCCCATTTTTGTAAACCAAGCAATCATACAAACATATGACTGATTAAAATAGATACAAAATGATCAGCCATCATGGTATTTAGAGCTTATCTCTGTGTGGTGCGATGGCAGGTGATTTGGTTTTCACTCTGTATCTTTCTGAGTGTGGATTGGTTGCCAAATCAGAAAACAAATGATTTTTGAAGCATGTGAAACTCTGGTGATTATTGATGTGTTGTTTTTTTTTTTTCCTTTATAAAGAAAATTCACTAATGATTTAGATACATGGAAATTGGATTTAGTTTCCACTTTTATTTCTGACTTTGGAGTGTGGCTTATCTGGGACCCGTATTGTTAACTCAGTAAGACAGTAATCTAATTATACCTTTAAAAAACCTTGTGGTATTCCTGAGGGCACTCACAGACGGTCTGTCTGCCTTTTCTAGGATTATCTTTTGGCAAAGCTCGAATGCTGAGTCACTGACGGTGTATTCAGTGTGACATTTAGTCTTTGAGGGGTCCCTCCTTTGCCTGCTGAGCCATTTTGATCCTTTGACCCTTTGTGTTTTCCCTGACTTGACATACCTCCCTCAGGACTGACTGCCAGTGATGGATGTCTCCTGACCAAAGAAAGTTGCTTGGCGGGGGCGGGGGGGTGGATGGCAGACGAAGTCGATTCCTCTAGAACCTTTGCTAGATTCAGCAGCCCCACAAAGGCTTTCATTGCCGGGATGCTCTGATGAGGGGGAGCTGAGGCTTAGAACCCATTTTATTCCTTGGGAAAGTTACCATTGCTGAGCCTGCGTTTCTCCATCCCTTATATCAGCAAATAGTTACAAAGCCCCTACTAATGTGCAAAGCACATTTCAGATGGTGGAGGACAGACAGGAGATAAGATCCTTGAACTCTCGGTAGCCACTCATCCAAAATTGGAAATTGAGCACTTTACCCTAAGAGAGTTAGATGAGAACTCCAAGTGACATTGTGCTTGGCACTTAGGTGGTTCCCAGCGAATGTTAATTCATTTCCCCCTCCTCTTTCTTCATTCTTTGAAACTGGACCAAGTGTAGCATTGACTAATCTGTGCTTAAAGCTCTCCAGAGAACAGATTTCCCTTTTAACTCTGTGCCTTGGGTACAAGAACTCTTCCACACGGTTTGCCTGTCAAGGATACTTGAAGAGGAAACAGATTGCTGCTCACATCCCAGTGTTCTCACTGGGAATAGCTTAATGGACAACTGGAGGGGCTGAGGGTTGGTGGGGTTGGTGCAGAATGCTTGAGGTTTCCATGCATCAGGCTCTTGCTGAAGCACGGAGTGGGTCGCTTGAATTCATTCAGCATCTGGATCAGCTTTCTTGTGCTGTTCTCCTATTTTCCTCAACGCAGACATCATAGATTCTTCTCTCGACTAAGCATCCCTTGTAAAGATCTCCTACTTAAGGCTTCCAGACAGGGAGGACCTTTAGAGCTCACCTGGCTTGTGCAGACAAGGTCACACACGGCATGCTAAAAATCATGGTTAGTGACCGAGTCTGCATCCTTCCCAGAATGTACTTTTACCGTACCTCGCTATGGGTGTTTCTGTGGAACTGAAACCGTTCTCCTCCGGGGAGGACACATTCCAGATTCAGATGCAGTGTTAGGTCGTTGCCCCCTGATCCCACGCAGAGCCGGATGGCGAAGGACAGTTAACACCATGAGATTTGCCTGGGGCATTGACTAAATTCCGGTTTTTCCAAATTTCGAATCAGCAACCCTCCTTTGAACCTGCCCATCTGTCTTTGCCAACTTCCCCCAAATTGGTGCGTTTCCGCCTCTTTCCCATATGCTTGTGATGGACCAGTCAGTGTTGGGGGCGAAGGAGAGCAAAGCAGTGCAACCATCAAGGAAAAGAAAGGATGGACCATTTTCAGGAGTGGTGACACAGACTACAGAGATGTATGGAAGTAATTTGCACATCACTCCCCCACACCAGCTTTCCTGACTCTGGACGTGGTTCATGCTTTATAATCCCTGGGGAAATTGCCTGGCAGAGGTGCTCTTTCCACACTTACTCATTCTCTGGAGTCATGGCTGGGAAACGCGGGAATGCCCATGAGAAAAGTCCGGGCCATGGCGGGAATCATTTAAAATGAGATTAGACGGCAGTGAAGGTTCTTGCTTCTACGAAGTCTAGACTCATGCATTAGCCGCTAGAGTGTTCTCTGTTTTACCTCGGTTGTGCATTTTACCTTCCACAGGACCAGCTCTCAGCAGACATGTACAGTTTTGTGGCCAAAGAAATCGACTATGCAAACTACTTTCAAACGGTAAGGGTCTAGAAAGGTAAGAGCACGTCGGGTTTGCTCACAAGTCAGGATGTGAACAGGAAGGAACGTGGCATGGAGCCGAAGGGCGCTCGGTGGAGCACCTCATGGGAAAGAGTATGGTTTTTAACTCTTCTGACTGTGAATAAGTCCAGTCTTCTATTTCTCCTTGTATGGATTTCTCTAAAAACCTAAGAATAAAACTCAACCCATCTATGAAGGTGATCACGACTCTGTGGTCTGTGGCAGTGGTTCCCAACCAGAGGGTGATTTTGTTCCCTCCTCCAGTGGATGTCTGGCCATGTCTACAGGCACTTGAGGAGGTGCATCTAGGGAGGAGAGATCAAGGGTGAGGCTAAGCATCCTCCAGTGCATGGGACGGTCCCCCAAAGCAAAGAATGACTCAGTCCCAAATGTCAGTCGGGCCAAGGTCACAAAAGCTGGGTCTGTCATAAACAAGGAACTTGGGGAGAAGAAGATAACCCTGCCCCCAGCTCATAATTGTTTCTCATTTCGATTTTGGCCGAAGACAATGACAAGTAGGTATACGGTGATTAATGGGGCCTGTTTGCCTGATTCTCATCGATGAAAGCAGATTTAGACCAGAGAGAAACAGGATCTGAGTCATCCATACTTGAATAATCTGGTCCAAATAATTAAGACCCTGGCTCTCTACCAGGGTAAGTGCAAGGCAAGTCGAAAACAAAATAAAACAAAACCAGCACTAATTAAAAAAAAAAACTTGAGAGAAAAAATAACAAATTAAAAATCCAGTTAAGTTCACGTGCCTTCTAAGCTGGGGACAAAACTCAAACCTTAAATGATTGGGGAAGTGATGGGATGATAAGGAAGGTAAGGAGGAGAAAAAGAAGGAGAAATCCCGAAAATTTTAAAATTGTAAGCACCCTGGGCTCGTAGCAGTCCCCCAACGCTGTGATCAGTGAGTGGTCCAGACCTTGAGAGGCATTCCCTTGACCCCAAAAAAAGAACTGATAAGCATTCCTTCCAGCCTGGAAAGTTTATTTTAAAATAATAGCACTTTCTCAAGTATATTCCATTGGGTATATTTACAGAGATAATACTTTAGAATTTCTGGAACTTAATGACATTTTTGACATTCCAAAGCTTTCTTGGACTGCCTCCCTGCCATTTATGTACCATTTCTTCCCCAATGTTCTGATTCTTTTTTTTTTTAATTTAATTAACTAGTGTTTAGTTTTTACTTGGAGATAATAGGATCTGCCCCGCGTGCCAAGCGTTTAAATGGAGCGATTCTCTCCCCTTTCCCTCAAGCACACCCAGTTGTGGGGTGGGGGTCTCAGAACAGAAATGGCAGGACTGTTGCTTACCGGGGTTCATCTGCTCATTAACATTTCAGCAGCTGTTTTAGTGGCGGGAGGGTCAAAACAGGGAAATTGAAAGAATTTGGGTTTTGGGGTCTATATCATGGAGGCAGAGTAATTTCACCTCCCAAGGTCCTTGAGGATTGCGGACCAAGCCACACGGTTTCTGATCACTTATATATTAAACTGACTTTGCAGAAACCAAGATGTATACACCCTAGCATTTAGCTCTGTCTTCTAGGCAAATGGATTTTTTTTTTAAAGATTTATTTATTTCTTTGATAGCATGAGAGCATGCATGCTCGGGGTGGGGGAGGAGCAGAGGGAGAGAGAGAATCCCAGGCAGACTCCCCACCGAGCACGAAGCCCAACACAGGGCTTGATCCCACGGCCCAGAGATCATGACCTGAGCCAAAACCAAGAGTCAGACGCTTCACCGACTGAGCCACCCAGGTGCCCCTAGGCAAATGGATTTCTAAATGTGTTCCCCGTTTATAGTTTCCTGTTGTACCTCTGTCTGTTGCCTTTGCTTTGAGCATGGGGTGCAAGGCAAGGTAAGGATACGGTGAAGGCAAGCCGTCTGTGTCAGGCGCCAGGCCTGGGGTGGTCCCCCCTCATCCTCAGTGGCTCTCCTGCCTCGAAAATGTCCACTTGTTGGGGACCCCTTTGCTCCCAAGGCTAAGGAGGAGGCAAGCTCGAGTCATCATTTGAGGCGGCCTGAGAGAGAGCAGGGGACTCTGCCACCCTCCCTGCGAATCAGGTAGCACCTTCACGCGGAGCCCCCCACGGCGCATAGCAGCTGTGCTCCCCACCCTCCAGCAAAGGGGATGCTCGCCCTTGTGTCTCCTCAGCTCATCGAAGTGCAAGCAGAGTACCACAGGAAGTCACTGGCCCTCTTGCAGGCTGTGTTGCCTCAGATAAAAGCACAACAGGGTAAGTGCAGACCTTTCTTGGAGCGGGGAGGTGGGTGAGGCCGCTTGCCCGCTGGGACGAGACCCTCAGGCCCCGATCTCCTCCACCCTCACGCACCTCTCAACAGGCCCACGTTGAGACGAGCCTCTAGAACTTCCCACGCTGGTCCTTTGAGCCAGCACACCCCCACACCCACTGCTCCCTGCAGGGGATGAGTTGGGGGGTGTGCGTGGGTGTGTGTGGTTGGTGCGTATCCAGCACGAAGCCCGGCAGGTCCGGTCTCAGCTCACCAGCCGTCTGCCCCGCCGGGCTCCTCCCTCCTCCCCAAACCACAAGAATGGAGACTCAGCAGGGCCTCCGTGTCTTGGGGAGTCAGGCAGATCTTTGACCAGAGGAAAAGAAATATTCGAGCATGAGTGCCCTTCACTGACTGCTGACGGGCCCCTCTCTTGCTTCCCCGCTCAGAGGCCTGGGTGGAGAAGCCTTCCTTCGGGAAGCCTCTGGAGGAGCACCTGATGATCAGCGGCCGGGAGATCGCCTTTCCCATCGAGGCCTGTGTGACAATGCTGCTTGAGTGTGGGATGCAGGAGGAGGTAGGTCCGGGGACGGCTGAACCCAGCCCCCAGCAGGTGTCTTCTCCGGGCCACAGAGCCTGCGGGATCTCCTCCTCGCCCCGTCCTGTAGCACACATATTGGTCCTGCTTTCTCCCGTGAGCCTTCACTTGGATTGTGGGAGGCTGATACCGCTGGCCCCCGAGGAACGTCTAGCCGCCCTCCAGCCGTCCTGTCTCCATATTCCCCAGGATGTGTCCAGGCTGCTCCCCCTTCCCTCCTTTTCCTCTTCTTCTGCACCCTCCCTTCTGTGGGCTATTTTAAAAATCTCTGGTCCATCTTCCTTTGATCTGATCGGCCAGTCGAGATTCACTTAGGGCATGCCGTGCATTTATCGCTGAGCGGGGTGTACAAGGGGGAGATGGTGGCTTATGAACGTGCTGGGGGACATGTGTCCAGCATCCATCAAATGCACCCGATTAATTCAGATTAATTCAGAATAGCTGCGAGTCTTTACGTGGGCCCTGGGTCACGTGTGACAAACTGAGGTGAGTCTGCACCAGAGAAGGAAGCCATTGAGTGTCTGAATGCACGTTGGTCACCGCCTCTGTGCCAGGCGTGTTGACAGGTGGCCTGTTCTCAAGGGATGGGGATGAATGTGGGGTTTGGGACCATGTTTTAAGTGTCGGGCATTCCTGTGTCTGTTATCAGTTACTGGATGAGGAGATCTTTACGGTCCCTGAGCCAGAGCCTCATGGATGGAGGTGAACTGAGCTTCCCCACCCCACCCCCACCCCCCCGCCATTGCTTTTTAAAATTACGGAAAAACTGCAACACATAAAGGTAAAATAATGAGCCTCATCACCCAGTTTATGGACAATCCTGCTTCCCCTCTGCCTCCGTTCCTGCCCCCGCCCAACGCCTGCCTTGGATAATTGGGAGCCCATCCCAGACACTGTGTCATTTCACCTGTAATACTTCAGTATGTTTCTCTAAAAGATAGGGAATAAGTAGTAATTACGTATAATATAGAACATAAAAACATCATATACAAAAAGGAAACAGAGTGTGTTAATATCTTCAAATATCTAATCCGCGTCCACGGGTTCTTTCTGCCTCTCCCTCAACCACCCCCCTCCCTCTTCTGTTTCTCCCTACTTTGTACCAGCTTTTCTCCTTTTAGTAGCAGAAATGCTCAGGTTGGGCGCCTGGGTGGCTCAGTCGTTAAGCGTCTGCCTTCGGCTCAGGTCATGATCCCAGGGTCCTGGGATCGAGTCCCACATCGGGCTCCCTGCTCGGCAAGAAGCCTGCTTCTCCCTCTCCCACTCCCCCTGCTTGTGTTCCCTCTCTTGCTGTGTCTCTCTCTGCCAAATAAATAAATAAAATCTTTAAAAAAAAAAAAAAGAAAGAAAGAAATGCTCAGGTTGTCCCAAGCCTGGGAAAAAGAAAAAAAATCTTTTTTCAACCCAACTACAGCCTCTTCCTTCCCCAGCTCTTTGGTTTTGTTTTTGCCTTGGCTCCCCGGTTTCTCTCTCGCCCCTGCCAGCACCGTCGGAATTATCAGCACCATCATCCCATCCCTGCCCTCGGGGAACATTTGGGGTCCTCCCCGCTCCTCTGGGCTCCACTCCCATGTGTGCCGCCATTTCTTCATTATGCACCCACAGATTTTCCTCAGATGCCCCCAAACTGGACTCACTAGCTTTTATAAGAATCTCCTCTTCCTCCTCTTGGTTTTTATCTGTCGCTCAGTGAAACAGCCTTCTCAGTAACACAGTCAAAAATCTATAGGCTTCTGTTTGACAACGCTACTCACTTCTCTTTGGCATTGTCTGTCACCAAGTGCCATTGCGTTTGGTTTCCTCCTCGGCAGTGGCATGGTTTTATGAGAGTCCAACCCACTGCTTTGGTATCTGCTGTAGCTTGGTCTTGGTCACATCAGCCTTAGTTATACACTAGTCCAAACATATTTATGGAGCTTCCTCACATACACGGAGGAAGAGAGCTTTGGACATCTGCTTAGAACAGAGTTAGCCATCTTAGCAGGCCAAACACTCCATATTCTAGACCAGGCACATTTTCTTCTGAAGAACCTTTGGAGACCCAAATCGTGGCCACACAAGGTTGAAAGAGCAAGGACTATTCTGCCAGCCCGTTTCTCAGTCTGTGGGCTGCGTCACAGAACGCCAGGAGCTGAGAAAGCAAAACCAATCAGTAGCTCTTCGACCATGTCCAACTCACCTGTGGCTTGGGGGGGTTCCGTTCTACTGGTGACCTGCATTTGTCTCTTCAGCACACCCCTGTCTTCGTCGTCGTCTTCATCGTCTTCTTCTTCCTTCCTCTTCTTTCTTCTTCGTCTTTCTTCCTCTTCTTCTTCTTTCTTCCTCTTCTTCTTTCTTCTTCTTTCTTCTTCTTCTTCTTCTTTCTTCTTTCTTCTTTCTTCTTTTTCTTCTTCTTCTTCTTCTTCTTCTTCTTCTTCTTCTTCTTCTTCTTCTTCTTCCTCCTCCTCCTCCTCCTCCTCCTCCTCCTCCTCCTCCCTCACTTTTGTACAAGGTACAGTGGTTCGCTTGGAAGAGGTGACAGGGATTCAGAAGTAACTTTAAGAATGAAACACGGAGGGGCCAACCGAGGCATCGCTCCCTGAAAAGCCACCCCTAGTTTGCCCGTCCCCTGAGGACATAGACTTGGCCTCTAAAAGTAGAGCCCTGCGTCTCCCAGGACACACACACGCATGCATGCACGCACATGCATTTACCCTGCAGGGAGCAGGGCAACTATAATATTGGGAGATGGTGATGGGGAAAACGCATCGAGGAGATTTTGGAGGAAGGGAGCTAGGGAGACTTCGTGTTTGTTCCTTTTGCTCGTGTGCCTTTGAGTTGCAGGGCTGTGCACTGACCCCCTGTGCTGTCTTAGGGACTCTTCCGAGTAGCGCCGTCTGCCTCCAAGTTGAAGAAGCTGAAGGCCGCTCTGGACTGCTGTGTGGTGGATGTGCAGGAGTACTCAGCAGACCCCCACGCCATCGCAGGTGGGTGCCCCCGGCCCCTTAGCCAGGGGCTCCCTTGTGCTGGAGGGGCTCACGGGGAAGGGCGCGTGGTCACGTGACCCTCAAGCCAGTGGCTTCCCAGCATGCGTCAGATGTATCCATTCAAGGCTCAGTTTTTTGGTTTTTTTTAATTTTTTTTATTATTTTTTTTATTCTTATGTCAGTCCCCATACATTACATCATTAGTTTTAGATGAAGTGTTCCATGATTCATTGTTTGTGCATAACACCCAGTGCTCCATGCAGAATGTGCCCTCCTCAATACCCACCACCAGGCTAACCCAAAGGCTCAGTTTTAAGCCTGATTGCTGGGCCCCCCTGAGGAAAGATCTCCCCAGGGCGCCGAGAGCAGATGAGGTGATGGTGGGAAATAGGGGGAAACCAACGTGATTGGCAGTCCAGGTCCCGCTGCCCTGCCAGAGCCTCCGATCCAGTCACGTGGGAAGCCACCGTGTGGCCGTGGCGTGTGGGTCAGGGGCGCCCATCCCCCGACCCACGTGCCGCGGGTGATGCCGGCTGGTAGGACGCGTCCGTGTGAGGGCAAAGTGGCTCAGGACCAATATTGTGTCGATATCCAGGAGCTTTGAAATCTTACCTCCGAGAGTTGCCGGAACCTCTGATGACCTTTGAACTCTATGACGAGTGGATTCAGGCTTCCAAGTGAGTACACCACGTTTTGCAGTGCGTGGTTGGGTGGCAGTTATTTGGAAGTATTTACTGAAATTAGGAAAGTGTGCAACCTATGATCTTAAAACTCCGCTTCTTAGTGTATATCATGGAGAAGTGCTCATACTTGGACCCAGAGAAGCATGTATAAGGATGCTGATGACAGTGTTACTTTGAATAGCAAAAGCTTAGATATGATTAAAGATGTATTGGTGGGGGGACCAGGGGCATGAAGAAATAAACCATGGCATATCTACACTGTGACATACTCTGTAGTGCTTAAAAACCCTGGTCGCGGGGTGCCTGGGTGGCTCAGTCATTAAGCATCTGCCTTCGGTTCAGGTCATGATCCCGGGGTCCTGGGATCGAGCCCTGCATCGGGCTCCCTGCTCCACGGGGAGCCTGCTTCTCCCTCTCCCGCTCCCCCTGTTTGTGTTCCCTCTCTCGCTGTGGCTCTCTCTGTCAAGTAAATAAATAAAATCTTTAAAAAAAAAAAACCCTAAAAAAAAACCCTGGTCGAGCTATTCCTGCTAACACGAAAAGATAGGAAGACTTAACTTTTCAGTGAAATAAAACAAGTTAATAAGGACACATATGATATTCTGTTTTTTTTTTTTTAAACATAGTCAAAACCATACAATTTTAGGAATGCATCTATAGATGCATAAATGCATAGAAGGTTCTGGAAGGGCTCACACAAGCGGATCGTCGTGATTCCTTCTGGAGAGAAAAATAGAACAAGGGAGGGGCCGTAGGGTCTTCACTCTTACTTGTAATCGTTACAAATATATTAATAGCGGCTCATTAGTAGCTAATATAAAAGCTTGACATCTGGTCTGCAGGCTGCCCTCAGCCGGGTGCCCCAGAAGGGACATGATTTCTAGAGCTCTCTAGTCGTAGGTTTAGTCTCAAAGCACAGCCAGCTTAGGTTGTCGGGAGGAATGCTCGAGTATGCATGTGCTTCTTTGGGCCCTGCAAGAGCCCAGCTGACCTCCAGGGGAAGCCAGGCTCTGTGTGTGTGGCGTTAGAAAACCCACCAGCTGCAGTCATTTTGCATGGCGCTGGCTTTTTTTCCCAAGGTAGAGTAGAGACTGTGCGTCAGAAAAGCCAGGCTGATTACCTGGCATGCTTACGTCTCTTGTGGAGCGTGGGTGGGAGCTCCATGAGGATACTGATCATGAGCAATACCTCTGCCGAGGGTTTTTTACAGGCTTGTCACTGTTCTGAGCTCATTATACGCATTTAACTCATTTAGTTGTCACAGGAACGAACCCTTTGAAAGTGGGTTGTGCTGTTTTCCCCAGCTTACAGGTGAGGAAGGTGAGTCCCAGGGCAGGTGTGTGAATAAATGGCAGAATGAGGATTTGAGTCCAGGGGATCTGGTCTGGAACCCATGTGCCTAGCTACAGCACTTAACGCTCTCTAGAGCCACTCAGTGGTCCTAGGGATGAAGAGAAATGAGACCGTATCCTCTGATGGAAACGGTCCCTTTTTTAAGAATTTTTTTTTCTTTTTTTTTATTCTTATGTTAATCCCCATACATTACATCATTAGTTTTAGATGTAGTGTTCCGTGATTCATTGTTTGTGCATAACACCCAGTGCTCCATGCAGAATGTGCCCTCCTCAATACCCATCACCAGGCTAACCCATCCTCCCACCCCCCTCCCCTCTAGAACCCTCAGTTTGTTTTTCAGAGTCCGTCGTCTCTCATGGTTCGTCTACCCCTCCGATTTCTCCTGCTTCATTCTTCCCCTCCTGCTACCTTCTTCTTCTTCTTTTTTCTTCTTAACATATATTGCGTTATTTGGGAAACGGTCCCTTTTATTTCCGGGCCGTATATGCGATCGTGATGATAGAGGAGCTAGAAAAGGGAGGACAGCCGGGGCATTGGGGTCTAGCCGGGTCTTGGCAGCGTCTGCCCTTTCCCCTCAAGACCCTGATTGGAAGCTTGAGATCAACCAGACCCTCTGCTGAGCACTTTGTACAGAGGCCCCTCTATACCGCTCTTGCTGACTCCAGGTGGGAGGTCGTCCCATGAACCCATTTCACAGATGAGGGAGGTGAGGTTACACAGAGATTCAGTAGTTGGCACGAGATCACGGGCAGGATGGAGCTGGGTCTTTAATGACCTCCCTGCACCAAACCCTCCTCGTCCAGCCTGTGGTCAAATTTCAGCCGCTTCACAAATAGGATCTGTTCACCTTTCCATTTCTAAATGGCATGTTTGGTTTGCACTTTAGAGTCCTAGGGAAAATGTGTTTTGGAGAATGCTTACCTCTTCCTCAAGGCTGAACTGAGAGAAAAGAGAGGTTTTCTCCCCTGGGTCAGGATCTGTGGGTGGGCCTGTGGGTCCACGGCAATGAAGTGTGTGGGTGATGGCCACCGCCCTCAGGGTCCCAGGTTAAGGGGTCAAAGCTGAGCCCTCACCCACCAGCTGCAGTTTTCCTTTTAGTTTTTATGGAGAAAAGATTCTTTGAGCGGAAAGGCCTTCCTAACCATGTGTGCCTTGTAGATTTTCATGAGAAGCATATATAAAATGTAGTCTATAAGTAATCTCTTTTAATCCTTAGAGGCCTTATTAAAATTTAAAAAAATAAATAAAAACCCTTGGAGCAGACCTTTTGTAGAGTGGAGAATCATTGGTTTGTGGAAATTATTCATCTCTGAGTTAGCTCGTGAAGGTCAGATTTCCGTATGTGTATTTTGAGCTCATATAATGTACCGATTCAAAAGGTGTTTATTGGGGGCACCTGGGTGGCTCAGTCGTTAAGCATTTGCCTTCGGCTCAGGTCATGATCCCAGGGTCCTGGGATCGAGCCCCGCATCGGGCTCCCTGCTCAGCGGAGAGCCTGTTTCTCCCTCTCCCTCTACTGCTCCCCCTGCTTGTGCTCTCTCTGTCAAATAAATAAAATCTTAAAAAGAAAGGAAGAAATGGATAGGCCTTATTTGAAAAGTCTGAAAACCTACTGAAGAACGTAAAAAAGTCTATTTGAACTAAAGGAGAGGAAGTACATAAAGTCAATCTTCCAAAATTAACCTATAAATTTGGTATTTCTAATCAATATTCAGTATTCCCCATAAAAATCTCAGCAAGAGGGGCGCCTGGGTGGCTCAGTCGTTGGGCATCTGCCTTCGGCTCGGGTCATGATCCCAGGGTGCTGGGATCGAGCCCCGCATCGGGTTCCCTGCTCAGCGGGAAGCCTGCTTCTCCCTCTCCCACTCCCCCTGCTTGTGTTCCCTCTCTCGCTGTCTCTCTCTCTCTGTTGAAAAATAAAATCTTTAAAAAAAAAAAAGTGTTTATTGAGCACCTATGATGCGTCAGATGCCAAGGAACTTTAAGTACCATCTACTGAACTGGACAATAGGCTGCCCCACGAAAGTGGGTTGAGCTCTCTTGACGGGTGTGTTGTATCCTGGTTTCTGTGCCAGTCTCCCTCCTGACAACCCCACGGCCCGGCCTTGCTCTAGAGCAGGTGTCTGGCTTCTTCCCTCCTGCCCCCACCTGCTCCCCTGGCCTGCATTCACCTGAGACCTGTGACATGTGCCGGGGAGGTCTGCAGGACAAGACGGGGGACACGCAGAGAGGGAAATAGTCATCACTCAGCACCTGACTAATAATAGCTCGCCGGGAGGGTCAGGCACAACTGTTGGCTTCTCATTCTCCAGCTGGTTAATATGATTGCCAGTGAGATCTGATTGACCCATGCTCAGCCAGTGAGTGGCTTTCCTGTTTATTCCCCAGTATTCAGGAGCAAGACAAGAGGCTTCAGGCTCTGTGGAATGCTTGTGAAAAATTGCCCAAGGCCAATCACAACAACATCCGGTAAGTGGACGGATCCTGGAGACGCGGGGTCAGGGTTATTTAAGCCGCGCGCACACGGTTTCCTGGCTAAGGGTCATGGTAACTAGCCTGCGTGGCATTTTATGGGGTGCTGAGCTTGGTTAACGCGCATGGTCTCCTTTCAACCTCAGACGACCCTGCGAGGTTGTTAATGACCACGTTGCCAAGGAAGGAACAGAACGGAAGGCACTATATGACTTTGGAAGACCATTGGCTAATTTAGTTGAGTTCTCTGATGTGCAGGAAGCAAAGATGAATGCAAGCTGTTTTTAAGATTTTTTACGATTTTTTATTTATCCATTTGAGAATGAGAGCATGAGTGGGTGGGGGAGGCTCAGAGGGAGAGGGAGAAACAGACTCCCCGCTGAGCAGGGAGCCCGACACCGGGCTCCATCCCAGGACCCCGGCAGGCAGACGCTCAACCCACGAAGCCTCCCAGGTGCCCCGATATTGTGCGTTTATTGTAAAGATAAGTATTCAGGCACAGCTGGGAGAGGCTGAGCAAACCTGGAGCTGCTTGGCGGAGGTGTCCTTGAGCTCGTCTGCAGGGAGAAGGAGCCAGATGAGTATCCTCTGGTGCTCTACCGTTCACCGCCTCTTTTCGGCACATCTCTCTCTCTCACTTTCTTTGCTTCCCCCCCGCCCCCCACCCCGCCCCGGGATTTTACTTCCCGCTCCTCTACAGATCTTTTCTGCTCCTCACACTCTCTGCTTCCTCCTCCCTTCGGCTTGCCAGCACCGCTCCTGGCCCTGCCACCCCCCCTCCGTGCTTCCCTAGATGCAGACTCCCAGCTTCAGCTCCTCTTGCCATCTGCCCGAGTATTTCTGCTTTCCTGTTCAAAATTCTAGCAGCCGAAGGTATGGCTCACCCTTAAGAAATTAAACATACCATCTGATCCGGCCACAGCACTTTTGGGTATATATAGACCCAGAAGATGTGAAAACAGGGACTTGGTACACTCATGTGCATGACAGCATCATCTGTAATAGCCAAGAGGTGAAAACAGCCCAAACGGCCATCACTGGGTGTATAAACAAAATATACATGTGATGTGATGTGATGTTCGGCGGGTGAATCTTGAGGACATGGTGCCAAACGAAAGAAGCCAGACACAGAAGGACAGATACTGTATGATCCCACGTATATGAGGTACCCGGAGTTCGCACATTCACGGAGACAGGAGGGGGGAGGGGAGCGTGGGATGGGAGGGAAGTGTTTAATGGGTATAGAGATTCTGTTCTGGAAGCTAAAAATGATCTGGAGATGGATGGTGGTGATGGTGCTTCACAGTGCGAACATACTTAATGCTACCTACACTTAAGAGTGATGAAAGTAGGGCGCCTGGGTGGCTCAGTTGGTTAAGCGACTGCCTTCGGCTCAGGTCATGATCCTGGAGTCCCCGGATCGAGTCCCGCATCGGGCTCCCTGCTCGGCGGGGAGTCTGCTTCTCCCTCTGACCCTCCTCCCTCTCATGCTCTCTGTCTCTCATTCCCTCTCTCTCAAATAAATAAATAAAATCTTTAAAAAAAAAAAAAGAGTGATGAAAGTAGTAATTCTTATGTAGATTATAGCACAAGTAAAAAAAAAAAAAGTCCCAAGAGCGATTTAACGTACGGCTTCCTCATTAGTTCCTTGAGATATAATTCACATACCGTTGTGTCCTCTTAAAGGTGTGATTTAGTGGTTGTATGTACGTGTGTTGACTCACACAACTACCACCACTCACTTTAGACCATTCTCATCACCCCGCAAAGGAACCCTGTTCCCATTAGCCGTCACTCTCCATCCCCCCGCCCAAGCCCGGCCCCTGGCAAACACGAATCTACCTTCTCTGTCTCTGCAGATGTGCTTCTGCTGGACATTTCACCTGGGTGGAGCCCTACAACACGTGGGCTTTTGTGTCTGGCTTATTTCACTCAGGATAATGTCCTCGAGGTTCATCCATCCATGTGGTAGCGCATGTTAGTATTTCGTTCCTTTTCATGGGTGAATAGTATTCCGTCGTATGGATAGGCCACGTTTTATTTATCTGTTCCTCCCTCGGTGGACATTTTGGATGGTCTCCACTTTCTGGCTGGCTTGCATAACACTGCTGGGATGCACATTTATGTACAAGTTTGCGTGTGGGCCTATTTCTCTTGGGTAGGTCTCTGGGAGTGAATTGTTGGCTCCGGTGCTAAATCTATGTGTAGCTTTTTTTCCCATTAGCTCTCAAAGCCCCACTGAAGTGAATCCCAGGGGACACCAGCCCTGGCATGTAGAGGTCCCTGCTGATGACACCTGGACACTTTGCTTCTCACCTCTGCACACAGGGAGAGTGGCAGGTGACTGAGGTTTGAAAAGGAGGAGGGACTTCAGGTCACCAGAGCCTGAGTCAGAAGGAAAGACGGGGAATTTCTCTGGCCAGGGTTCACGGCAGCGGATGTTGGCATGTAGCCAAGTGAGATCGGAGTCTGTTTCTCAAGCATTCTCATGGCTGGATACGTTACATGTCTTCATTATAATGCAGGATGTAGGAGTCTCGTTGTCAGTAAGATGGGCTACGTGAGAGAGATTTCTGCCCTCTGCTGGGGGAATGTGGCTGGGGTTGAGCCCGAGTTGAACCTGGCCCTTCTGTCTTCCTTTCAGATACTTGATCAAATTTTTATCCAAGCTATCAGAATATCAAGATGTAAACAAGATGACTCCCAGTAACATGGCAATTGTGTTAGGACCCAACCTCCTGTGGCCGCAAGCAGAAGGGTGAGTGCACAGGGAGGAACATGCAGAGGGGTGGCGTGTGGGCAGGACAGCCAGGGCCCCAGATAAATCATCAGCCTCTTTTATTTGTCAAGTCCTATTTCTCTCTTGGCCTGCTCATGTTTTAGGCTCAGGAGAAGACCCAGAATTCTGCAGATCTTTCTCAATGATGGTCTCAGAGCTCCAGGCCTGCAGTGAGCTCAGGTCTTCTCTGAGCTAATCTGAGTCTGCAGTGGGCCAGGCAAGCTCTTCTAAGCCTTCCTCATGCTCTGTGAAGAGCACACATCCCAGCATCTGGATGCAGGGGATGGAGGGCTGTCTCAAAAGAGAGAACAGAGTTGGAAAGCAGATGAATCTGGCATTTGTGAGAATCACACCTCACAGGGAAAGGTGCCTGATACTTGGTGATTTCGTATATATTACTCATTCACACGTCTCTTGTAAGGAGGACATCTATGGAAAGGTGAAGTGTCCTTCCAAAGAGAAAGCCTACTCTCAGACCTAGGTCAGCAGGCTTCCGGTCCAGGGGCCGTTCCCAGGCTGTGCAGCCAGGTGTGCTTTGCTGCTGCCTTGGCTAGTAACCTGCCCCTGCCCCCTCTCTGCTCTGTACTCACAGGAACATCACGGAAATGATGACCACAGTTTCACTGCAGATTGTTGGGATCATCGAGCCCATCATCCAGCATGCAGACTGGTTCTTCCCTGGGGGTATGTGGTGGCATCGAGATACGGGAGTTGGGGGCTGGGGGAAGAATAAGAGTGTTACTATGAGTTCACAACTTCTGAAACCAAAGGTGTTTGTCATTAATCCTCCTACACACATGCGTGAGTCATGGCGGTTTCTTACTGTCTAATCCCTGACTGAGCGACATTCTGGCCACAGGTGACCACTGCCCACACTAACCAGCCAACAACCATAGCGATCTTAGCGAAATCTCTGGTTTCCAATCCTTTTCAATGTTTTATCTTTGGTTTTCCAGAAAGACAGTGTCGTCATCTATAAGTAATAGTACTGCCTTTTATTTTATTTTCTTGACTTATTCCATTGGCCAGCACTTTTCCAATAGTGTTAAATAACAGCGGTGGGAGTGGGCATTGCCCTTTTTCCTGATTTGATTAAGACTGCTCTGGTGTTTCACTTGTAACCATGAGGCTTGAGATAGATGATTTTGTCTTTTTCTGAGAGTACCCATCTGTTCCTGTTTCACTAAGTTGGCTTTTAACCATGAATAGAAACTGCTTTATTTAATGTTCATCATATTTAGTGTGATAGGTGAGCACTTGTGTTCACCTGCTAATAGGATGAATTATATTAGGATGAATTCATATCAACAGATGACCTAACGTTGAACCACGGGACACAGTTTTCTAGGGGTAAAGTGTAGAGGACAGGCTGCATCAGCTCATCTCTCTTCCGGCCGGGAATGGCGTGACCAATAGATCGCGTACACCCATTCTCTCATCCCTGCAGAGATAGAGTTCAACATCACCGGGAATTACGGGAGTCCCATACACGTGAACCACAATGCCAACTACAGCTCCATGCCCTCCCCAGACATGGACCCCACTGACCGGCGCCAGCCCGAGCAGGCCCGCCGGCCCCTCAGCGTTGCCACGGATAATATGATGCTGGAGTTTTACAAAAAGGATGGGTATGAACCAGTGTCCCTTTCTCAGCGTTGGAGGGGCGGAGGGGAGAGGGGTGGGGAGTTAACACCAAACCAGATTGCCGGGAAGGTTGCACTCTCTAGCAGCAGTTTAGGCGATGTGTAGCAATTAAGCTGTTGCCTCCTTCTCTGTGTTTTCTCTGTGCTGTTGTGACTGAGTCCCTTGGCTTGCTTCCCTTGCTCTAGGGACGGAGGTAAGTGCAGTATTGATTACTTCTCACCAGAAGGAAGGAAAAAAAAAAAAAAGTTGGCCAACAAGGGCAATGAAGAGAAATACGTGAACACTTTATTTTCACTCCAAATGTATAAACGTAGGTCAGTTCTCAAATCCCAAATGGTTTTTCACTGACAATGGCTCTGCTCCTTCCCATTCTTCAGCAACACTCCTGCATAAGCATCTCCTGGAATGCGTGGCTGAACGTTCCCAGGTTCAGTCTCTTTGAAACAGAGAGCAAACCTACACGTGAAGCAACCTGAATGTAAAGTCCTTGTGAGTGTTTAAGACGCCTTCCCATCGTGGATGATTGATACCTACACCTTCTGGGATGGAGTCCCCACGAGACTCATAAATGCGTTCAACTTCATTTGCACGGCAACGGCCCTCTCTACACTCCTATTCAGATCAGGTCACGTAACGTGTTAACTGCGTACTGTGGTTCCCAAAACCAATAAAGTGGGCATAAACAGGTTTGGTAACGAGCACAGCTGATCCGCGGGGAGCGGCAGCCACGACAACCAGAGTATGTGCATTGAGAGACCCCGCAAGTTCAAGGCATCAGCGGACTGTGTCTTACAGAAGGAACGGGGATTGCATTGTTTGCTCCAGCAAGCCAGTCGAGTAAACTTTGGTTAAGAATTAAAAATTGCGGTTGTAGCACAAAATTCAGCGGCTGCTCTTTCAAAATGGACCAGGAGCGTAAAGCACTGAATGGGAATATATTATCAGAGATTCAGACAACAACCTTCCGCCTCCCTGACAGATCTTGAGGTAGCCAGAAAGATCTCCTTCCTCCTAAGGAAGGGCCTCAGGGGAGGTTGAAAACCAAGAACTGTAGGGGTGCATCTTACTGTTCACCCCTCTTGGTTTCTGAGTGGGAGCTGGCCCTGGGGACCTGACCTGTGTCCTGGGATGACGGATCCCTGCTTGTCTCCTCACCCTGCGGAGACCCTTGCTGTGTGAGGCAGCCGGGGGGGTTTTCTGCTCTGTGCTGTTGGTTATTGTTTCTCCAGCGAATGGGGAACGAAAAACTAGAAATTCCTAGAAGTTGGAGAGAGTAAGAGGAAATTCCTTAAATCTTTTTTTTTTTTTTTTTTTTTTTAAGATTTATTTATTAGAGAGAGTGGGGGCGGGAGCAGAGGGAGAGAAAATCCGGAAGCAGACTCCCTGCTGAGCGCAGAGTCCAAGGACTCGGGGCTCGATCCCAGGACCCTGAGATCATGACCTGAGCTGAAATCAAGAGTCGGATGCTTAACCGACTGAGCCACCCAGGTGCCCCTTGAATGATGATACGTTAAGCAACTGCCTCCTCTCTGATGACGATCGGTCATTCAAGAACTTGGTAAATGATTTGCCTGTTCCGCACACTGTTCTGATTTAAAGCCAAAACTGCCACCATCAACTTTAAGGGTATAGGGAGGGGATGCGCTGCATAAGTTACTCTTGCACGCTAAATGGATGTGGTTTGTGTATTTTAAAATTTGTATTAAACATGAAATTAAGTGGAGGGCTTACTGGTTTAGGGTCACCCTTGCTCCGTTGCCTAGGGTGCTGGCCCAGGTGCTTTAAGGTACAGTGAGCTTGCAGATGATCAGTTTCTAACCAGCTTTCCCAGAAACAGAAGCCTAAAGTGGTAAGTGTTCTGGGGGGAGAAGAAAGCCATTTGCATCAGCTGAAGGCCCCTGTTCTATTTTAGCAACACTAGGGGAATTCTCCTCATTTATCCCATTTCTGAGCTCTGAAAATCTACGGACACATTTTAAAGTCTTCATACTACCCTCTTGAAATACTGACAAATTGCAGCTCACTTTATGAAAGCATTTTGGTCAAGTTAAAACAAACAAACAAACAATTGTATATCATTTTCCTGGCTGATGGCTGTTATGACCTAGACATCATACAGAGTGGTAGTGTCACTCCCATCCCAGCTCCAGGCTTTGGTCCTGCTGCCTTTGATTCAGGATGACTCGGGAAACTGAGTTTCTTTAGCAAGATCTGGAGGCAGATTTTGGGGCTCACATCCACCTTTCTCATTATTGTGGTTGGCAGAATAATGGTCTCCCCCAAAAGCTAGCAGCAGGTCCTGAACCCTGGAACCTGTAAATACTACCTTATTTGGGAAAAGGGTCTTTGCAGATATGATTAAAGTAAGGACCGTGAGGGACCACTCTGGATTACCAGGGTGGCCCCTAAATGCAATCCCATGTATCATAAAATGCAGAAGGAGATTTGACATAGGCATGCGGAGAAGGACAAATGCGAAGATGGAGCGGAGAGAGATTTAAGGATGTGGCCGCATGCCAAGGCATATAAGCCACCGGAGGCCGGAAGAGGCAAGAAACAGCTTCTCTCCTGGAGCCTCCGGAGGGAGCACAGCCCTCCTGCCATCTTGATTTCAGCCCGCTGCCACTGATTTTGGCCTTCTGGCCTCCAAAAGGGCGAGGGACTAGATTTCCGTCATTTACCGACTTTGTGGTACTTGTTACAGTAGCCACGGGAACCTAATACATCCCTCCACATGCCAGGAGCTTCGTGGTAGAAATGGCAGCAGGTGCTTGGTCCGCCCCCGACTGAGGGTCGAAATCTAAGCACACTCCCTCTGACTATGAGCTGGCCTCAGCGACTGATACCAGAATGTGGCAGAAGTGATGTGCTAGGACTTCGGAAGCTGGGTCAGAAAGAGCCTTGTCGATTATGCCTGGGTCCCTTGAATACTCACTCTGAGAACCCTGTTACCTCGCTGTGTGGGAGCCTGGGCAGCCCCTCAGAGAGCAGTTCAAGCCCCCGGCCTTCACCCCCAGCTGGGCACCGAGCTGACCGCCCTCACCCACTTACCAGCTTTGGGAGGGAATGGTCTCGGAGTCTTCCTCGCCAGGCCGAACCTTCTCAGCTGATGCTGTATACCATACATAACTGTGCCTGCCAGACTCTGCCAAGAGTGTGGATTTGTGACCCAGATAAAAAATAAGCCGCTTCGTTTCGAGGGTGGCTCGTTACGCAACAGAAGACAGAACAAGCTTTTAAAAAAAAGAAGGCTGCTCTCCGGCGGCCCCGACCCCATTCTTCAAGGCTGCCCTGATTGGCCTGGGCTGGGATTCAGGCACTGGTACTTTTTAAAAGTGTCCTGGCTGATGATTCTCATGTGCCTGTAGGGTTGAGAAGCACTGAATCACAGAAAGATTTTGCCGTTCTGAATAAAGAATTTGGCAGGGATACAATTTTTAAAAATTTTTTCAAAATTTTCCTTCTGTAGCCCTCGGGTGTTGGTGTGAGATATGAGCTGTCCTGACTCTGCCAACACTCTGAACCACAAAGTATTGATTAGGTCACCCCGTGTGCCCTTACACCCTGTGTAAGCGCTGACTTGGAAATTTGAGGCTATAGGTTACTATGTATTTTTCATGCCTTGTTAGTACTGGCTTTTTGTTTTGTTTTATAAAATAGCAACATCTGTTTCATGGATCCTTTGTCCCAAATAATACACGAAAATAATCTTGCAGGTCCCTTTTATTTTTCTGACGACGGCAGGGTCATCCCTGGTCCCATCAAATATTTTTTTTATGTGAGCCCTACTGCCGCTTTTTTTTTTTAAATTTTTATTTATTTGACAGACAGTGAGAGAGGGAACACAAGCAGGGGGAGTGGAGCCCTACTGCCTTCTAAAGAGTTGGCCAAGAGGTCTGCACTCTCTTGCCCGTTGGTCAGGGGGGACCCATAGTCCCTCAGCATTTGTCTGATGCCTCCATTGGCCACGTCCCTGGCAGAGTCGGAACAAACTCAGCTGGGATCATTGAGAGGACAAGGCTGGAGGTGAGAAGAGAAATGATGTCCGTGGTGGACCATCCTTCCTCGTTCACATCTCCCTCTGATGGCTCTCGTCCTCCCCCTTTCTACTGCTCTCTGCCTCCTGCCTGCTGCCAGCCGTACACTTCAGAAACCCCATTGGTACCACCGCTGCCTTTCCCATACACACAGTCTCCCTGCTGCCTGTTTGCTGCCTTCTGGCTCCGGCCCATGCTCTCCACTGTTACCCTCTTGGCTGACGTCTTTCCCGCTGTGCCGGCTCAGTCCTAGCCTCTGGAGTCCCAGCAGGATGGCAGTCTGTCCACAGAAATCCCAGTGACCTTGGCTCTTTATACTCGGAAGACCGATGCATAGCTCCCCTTTCAAGTCTGGAAACTTGATGTGCCTGCCGCCGTTTTGCTTGTCCCGCAGCGGTCTGGTCCTCAGAGATGCGCTACCAGAGCCAGTTGACTGCAACCCCGAAATCTATGTGGTCTCCCCGAGAGCTCAGTTTGGTGTGGGACGCATCCTTCGCCTGTGTTTGACACCTGCTCTGCGATGGGTCTTGTCCCACCCACCTGGACCTTCATCTAGATGTCCAGCAATTTGGAACAGGCATCTTTAATTGAGAAGGTTCGGGAGCAATGTGAAAGGTGCTCTCTGGACGACTAGTTCCACTGTTGGTCGTATTGGGTTGGGAGGGGACAGAAACCTGGGGTCTGATGGGCTGCTGAAGCCAGTTCACGTAGTGTATGACTTCTTAGGATCTTAAGCACATCGTGACGGGTCACAGATCTTCATAAGGTGGCTGTGGCATGCTTCTTTTCCCAGATTTATTAAATCAGAAAACCCATGGCCACCCGACGACCGGAACTAGGGGCTTCTGTAATTGCAGATATTAGGGTGCTCTGCAGACCCTGCAGGGGAGGATGGACAGGACACAGAGACCGTGACCCCGAAAGGCATGTCACTGTGGCTAGCTGGT